TAAGTCAGTTGGGATAGACTCCAGCCCCCCACAACCCTAGTGAGGATTAAGCGGTGTATAGATAATGGATGGATGGACATTCTCTCTCTCTCATTAGTCTGGCAATTTAGCAAATAGAAATAATTTTGGTAATCCTAACTGACCTAATACAGGAAAGGTCTAGTCGAATTTAATGTCAGACAGTGAGAAAAAAAAAAAAAGGTTTTATGCCTTTTGATACAGTGTATGTCATGTAAACTTCTGGTTTCAACTGTATATAACAGTCTTCTACCTTAGTGGTACTCAAAGCTCTAGATCAGAAAGTTTAGGTTCTGATTGAAAAACATGGTTCGGCAAACTACACTATCAAACTAAAAGCTTTGAAATGGTCCAAAAGGTATACCAGGGACTCTAAAATATGCTGGATTTTCAAAATAAAATGCATTTATATGAATTATACATTGTGTACAATTATAGGACATAACAACAGACAGAGGTTACACCGGCACACTGAAGATGTTGTAGTGTATAAATAAAACCAAGACATCTACCATTACTTGGCAACAGAGCGTATTGATTTTGTGTCTGATCATTTACCAAAAAGCAGAACCCGCAGACTTCCTGTAAAGCCAAAACCACACAACCAACACTGTGCTGATGTTTCCTTTTAAAGAATGCACACTGTCCACAAGAAGTTTCATCTTTGCTCTGCAGGCAGCGAGGCAGCACACAGCTCAACATGCAGTGCAGCTTCAATGGGACTGTGCTGATCACAGTTCTCCCTCCACTGCTGGTGATGGAGTTTATTTTGGGATTACTTGGAAACGCTTTGGCTCTGTGGATCTTCTGCTTCCACCTGAGGCCCTGGAAAAGCAGCACGGTGTTGGTCTTCAACCTGGCGATGGCTGACTTTCTGCTCAATGTGGCTTTGCCTTTCCGTGCCAGCTACTACATCTCGGGGATCAAATGGATGTTTGGCAATTCCCTCTGTAACATCTGCCTCTTCATGCTGGCTATGAATCGCAGCGGAAGCATCTTCTTCCTGATGGCTATCGCTGTGGACAGATACATGCGTGTGGTGCATCCCCATCATTCCATCAACTCCCTGAGTGTCTGCAAAGCTGCCATTGGAGCGCTTGGATTGTGGCTGGTCGCCTTTTCAATGACTGCTCATGTCTTCACTCTACAACATGTGAACACGACCCACTGCGAGAGCTTCACGATTGAGACCAAGCATCAAAACAATCTGACCTGGCATAAATTTGAGTTCCTCCTTTCCTTCTACGTGCCTCTGCTTGTGATTCTCTACTGCACAGTGCACATCATCAGCCACCTGAGAAGGAGACAGCTGGCCCAGCATGCAAAGATTAAGAAGGCTCTGTACTTCATGGTAGTAGTGGTGGTGGTCTTCATCGTTTGCTTCCTGCCGAGCAACATCACACAGCTGCTGATCTGGATCAAGACCAGGGAGGTAACCAGCACCCTCCCTGAACCTGACATCTGTCCTGCCCTGGAGGACCTGACATCTGCATTTTACATCACCATCAGCCTGACTTATCTGAACAGCACCATGGATCCACTGATCTACTACTTCTCCAGTCCTGCCTTTAAGAGCATTTTCAGGAAAGCTCTTCACCTGCCCCAAGCAGACACTGTTGAAAGTGCTGAGAAGAAAACTCGGGAGACTGGCTCCCAGTCGCTCAGCCAGCTGTGAAACCAAGGAAACATGACATGCAGCTTTGCAGCGGAAATAATGACTAATACTCAGTTTCTGAAGCTTCTCAGTAAGTTGTCATGCAAGTCTCATACCGGGTGATATATGATTTTAATTAATCACATTGATACCAAGTGATAATGATAGAAAAACAAAAAATTATTAACAAAAACAAAAAAAAAAAACCCAAAACTAACAATGTTTTCTTGTAATGGTCAAAGCTATATTCTTCTTGTTGGAATGAATGAAGATTTATTATTTAAATATTTGTATCTGGTTATTGTTAAATTAAAGAACACAGCAGATTAAAATGTGCAATAAAAGTGTTTGTAGTCTGGTGAAAATGGCTTGGTGAGAAGTGAAAAAGTTGTTCTAACTCACATAAGTGACACCATGTTTATGACTGGAACTGGAGCGTCTGACCTCTAACCGCTGCTTTGACACAGTTTAGCACAGATGGTTCATACAATGTAGTTCTCGTGAAATGTAGCTTTCCAATTTAACCGCATAACATTGAAAACCACAGAGGTCTCCTCGTGGTTTAGATGGTTACTGTAAAAGCACGTAGTTATTTCTTCTTCTTTTGCTCACATTCAGCTAAAGTAAACTCCCTCCACTTAAAGTCTCTGAATCCCTAAAAACTCCTGTCTGTGTATCAAAGGTTGAAATCTGGAAGTGTTTTGCGTGAAAATAAATAACAATGTGAAGATCTGTGTAGTCCATCCCTCCTGACTTGCTGCAGCTCGAGCACATCAGCTCACCCACAACTCTACTCAAATGCTATAAAATTACTCTACACTATTGTAAAGTTGTAATAATTCAGCTGTACATGTTTTAACCAGAAACTGATTCTGAAGTAGAATAATGACACAGGAAGTCCCACACTGCAAGCTGATAAGCTGATCTCCTTACATGTGTGAAACCCTCGAAGTCTGAAGCTGTTTATAAGCCTGCCATCAGTAACCTGCACTTTCATGCTCCATCATACTGTTTACTTCTAATTTTGCTCATCATATGCTGTCTAGTATATATAAAAAAAACAAAACAACAACATATAGACAAGTTAAAGAAGTTTAAAAAAAAAACAAAACTTGATATTCATGGTAGAAGGTTTTTAAAGTTGTGTCAAAGATTTTTTTCAATTTAAATAAAAATCACTATTGGCAAATGAGGTACCACAATGGTGACTGAGGATTCTTCGTCTCCTTTTCGCCTTCATGTATAATGACACAGTCTGCTCCTATCTAAGGGGAAGTGAGGTTGAAAAACACTCCTGGAATGACTGCTTATTGCCATAGATGCTGGCAAACAGAGCGAAACTGAGGTTTTTTGGATACCACTTTAAATAAATGCATTGGTTTAAATGAAAAGTTTCAACAGTACATGCACTCAATAGAAATAAACTGTCATAAATCAGCTAAACAATGGTTGGTTTTAAAATCTGACATCTCTACATAAAGTAGTAAACAAAAAATAAACATTCTGCATTGTAAGATTTTTTACATAGTAGCATTGGTCTGATATTCCACCCAATTTATGGTGCATATGAACACAATATGAATTACATTACCATGCATCCCATCCATCCATTATCTATACACCCTTAATCCTCACTAGGGTCGCGGGGGGCTGGAGTCTATCCCAGCTGACTCAGGGTGAAGGCAGGGGACACCCTGGACAGGTCACCGTCTATACAGGGCTACACTTAGAGACAGACAACCAAGCACACTCACATTCACACCTACGGACAATTTAGAATCACCAATTAACCTCAACATGTTTTTGCACTGTGTGGAAGGAAGCCGGAGAACCCGGAGAGAACCCACGCTGCACGGGGAGAACATGCAAACTCCACACAGAAAGATCCCGAGTGTCCTCACCGGGACGCGAACCGGCGACCTGCTCGCGGTGACGCAACGGTGCTAACCACCGAGTCACGTTGCAGCCCCATTACCATGCACTCTCTTCATTAATGTTAAACACAAAGGGGAAGTTGGGCATGACCTACTAATGCATAAGAATCGTGTTGCAAAAATTGCACAGAATATTGCTCCACTTGGTGACCTTTTCTAGGGAATTTGTGACTGTGTAAGCTTTAACACAACACTGAGGATAAAAATAACATTCATTCTTCAAAATTGCTCATTATTGCAGGACTCAACATGCATAACATTTTTTACAAATGTCCGCATACGTTACCAATACTGGAAAAAAAAAAAAAAGGTGACTCTATAAACGACAGATAATCAAGCCCAGTTCTGTCAACAGGGTCCTGAATCTGGTTAAAGCGCTTTATTTTGGGGAAATGGTTAAATGACACACATGGAATAAAGTCTGTTTTAGGAAATGATTTTAGATTCGGTTAAGTTGCCCAATCGAATGGCCCGTGTCAGATTACTCGATCAAGCAACGTCAGAAAGTTGAACATTTCAGATTTTTTTCTAAGCAGCATTGCTTTCAAACCTGCCAGTGAGTTCTGGGGTTTAGAAGGTTAAGACAAGCATTTTTTTTTTCTTTTTTCACAAAAACAATTAACAAGTCAGGAGGTAATATAACACAACTTCTTGATCTGCTACTTCTGAAGAATTCCTCGACACAATTTTCAATAGTGAAAAGAATTTATTTGAGTAATACATGAACAATTAATAGATAAATGTTAAGTGCAAATATTGCATCTCTCCAGGCAGACCAAGAAAGACTAAAAGTACAGCCGAAGAAGTCACACTGGTTTATCCCAATACTCCATTCTGCTGTTTAAGAAACTCCTGAAAAACAATGAAAGCAGAATGACAGGTTTGTTATTTTCTGTCACAGAGCAGTAATCAAAGTGATGCAGTACAGAATCAGCTACCTTCAGGCAGCTCGGTGAAGGTGATCCATTTGTCAGCAGCTTCCCTCTTGGATGCTCTCTGAGTTTCATGAACTCTTGAGCGAGTGAGTCAGCATCATCTTGGCTGGAAAACAAATTCAAAGACACTGACGTCCAGAACTTAAATCATACATTCTGAAAAGGTCAAAGACACAAGGTCAATTTCTGAGACAGTTTCTGTTGACTCTTTAACTGTTTAAGTATCTTTCAGCTGTTAGACTGAAAAAAAGGAAGAAGAACAAATGGAATTAAAGCCCTTTATAACCTGAACTAGTGTTCAGCAAAATGTGTGTATTCAATCAGCCACATAACTCAGAACTCACAAAACTAAATTTTGTTTTCCTGATACAATGAAAGCTCTGAAATTGTCTAAAATTCTGTTCAACGCGTTGTGTTTTAGCAAGAGACCAAATCTCCAAATTGTGCAGAGGAGCTTTTACCACCAACACTGGACTTCATAGTGGAGTGGATCTTACCGGTTCTGGCTGATCAGGTAATCCACCAAGTCTTTCACCTGATCGGGTTGGCCGTTGGACACTACGTGCTGCTTCAGATGGTTGAAGTGTTTGGTCGTCAGCAGTTTCTGGTGCTGTCCATTTTGGCTGATGAATGTTAAGACAGTCTCCCTGATCTGTGAGGTGTTAAAGGTGATAATGTAACATCATGTAACAAGAAAATATCATCAAAATGAGAAGAAACTGCAATAAAACACTGCAGATATGTTTTGATGCATCCCTTTTGCCTGCACGTATGTTTGTGGCAAAACACCAAATCTGTCCATATGAAGCATGTTTGGTAATGAAAGCGGTTTTTGTTGAGCTCTTTATAACAAATAACACTTTTCACACCTTTATAACGCACTCATCTAACATAACTTCCTGCTTAACAGCTTTAATGATAACAGGTTCATGGCAATACCAAAATAGGTTCTGCTGCAAAAGGGTGCATTACATGTTGATTTTTATCTTGGAACAGGAGAGATGCGGTTTCTAAAGAAAACATATGTGAGGTCACTGATAAAGTTGCCATTGAATAATTAAAACTTTAACAAGTGTCATATTAGATGACAGTTCAGAGCCAAATTGTTTTAGCAAAAGTTAGTTCAATAAAATAAAAGCTTAAGGCAGTTGAAAAGCAGTTTACATCTGACCTGTGCAGGGATTCCAGCCAATTCACCAGTGTTCATAAGCTCTTCGACCTGCTCGAGGACAGTGACTGGGTTACAGACGGACAGAAAGCCCTGAAAAAAAAAAAAAAATGAAGCGTCACATACATAGTTAATTCTCACCTACTGTCTTATTGTATATATGAAAAGTTCATTTGCAAAAACAGATAACTCCATCTTCACAAACCTTCAGAAAACCCACTTTTCCATCGTCTACCTGAGACAATACCAATTAAACTTAAGTCATCTCTATTTTTGTCATGTCATTTCTACTGAGTCAAATCCACTCAACTTCAGTTTGATATTATCTCAAACAAAAACAAAAAAAAATCAGTTTTTCTAAAAATCTACAAAATAATCTGTTTTTGCAAATGAACTCTTCATATGCACTGACCTGGACCTGCTGCGGCTTTTTATTGGCACAGGGGATGAGGAGGAGAGTTCCCAGGGCGAAGGCGGGCAGATTGAACTGTGCGAAGCGATTGGCAATTCCTATCAAGTCCAGATTCAACAGGAAAGGGCACCTTGGGAAGGAAGATTAACGGCAGGACAGTTAGAATAATAAACATGAAGAGATACGACGCATTATTTAGGTCTGCATTGCCTTTTAAATAAACAAATTCCAGCATGCATTGGAATAAACTTTGGTCCAATAAACCGATAGAAGTGGTATTTAGATTTTTTCATTGGTCATCGAATGGGACTGTACAGTAAACCATGGCTAGATTAGACAGAACTTTATTGATCCCGTTGGTAGGGTACCTCAGGGAAAGTGTTGACACATACAGATGAGCAGTGCAACTGGTGTAACGGTGGGTATGTAGGGCATTTAGCTGAGGTTAATTCGCAGACCCTGACCCTTATTAGGATTTTATACTGAGGCTAAAACCGGAAAACAAACAAGTTGATTTAACCAAAGTGGAACAGATAAAACCGACCGTGTGAACGTGTCTGTGTGTTAGTACTATAGAAGATGTAGTTGTGATGACATTCATTCAAATAGCTGACTCATGCATGCGTAGAGGAAATTGTAGGCTGTGATTAAAAAAAACACCAAAGGCTGATGTGCCCTTCTGGTCATCAGCTTTTATTTGTATACTCTGTCGTGCCCTGAGATTGTTTTTTAAAAAATGACCAGAGGATTTGAAAATGCAACTGTCAAACAATATTCTATTCATAGTCTAGTACTAAGGGCCCATGAAAGTTCTGCATAGTGGTTGCAGGCAGGACAGTTGGTTATGGCTGAACAGGAGTGAAACATACTTGAGCAGAAGAACGAAGGTCCTGTAGAGTGTCGCCTGCTGATCCGGGCTCAGAGGAATGGAAGCTGTTACCAAGAAAACATATGAGACAGTCGGGAACATTCAGGAGATTATTCAAATTAAAACAAAAACGTATATAGTTAGTGAATTTACTGGAATCTAACTATTAGCTAACACACAAAGATTAAAGTTGCACAACTCCTACAATAGAGTTTCAACATCTCAACGCTGGCATGTAAAACTTAGAAGAGAACAAGAGTTTCTGAGCAAGTGTCTGAACAAGTATTGCTGCGACGCTTCGATATAGAGAAAGCAGGAATTCAAGTATTGATCACAGGCCACCTTCCTTCCATCTGAATATGGAGACTAAATTACAATTGGTTATGCTAACTGCTGGAGGATTTTATTGACTCACTTATTCTACCATGACATGGTATCATAAACATCAGTCATCGTTGAGACACATAAAAATCCATGCTCTCTATTAATTCAAGTGAATTTCAGAGTTTTAAATAAAGTACCTGAGACAAAAGGTGCCAGTATCATGCTCCTCCAGGTCCTGGAGAAACTGGTAATCTAAATAATAAAATAAAATTAATACAACAAGAAAAAAAAAATGTAGGCTTATCTTCAGTACTTACACTTAGTCGTCTTAGTCATATTGCTAATGATGTAATGTTATGCTTGTGGCCATCGCTCTTATTTTGGGCTCAACAACAGGATGTCCACTGGTCTTGTGGTTAAGACGCATGCAATTTAATTGTAATCTCCTTGGTTTCATTCTATTTGCAAAAAACACCCTCGCCTCTGATATTGGCTCAGGTGTTGCATTTCAAATATTTTCTAACAACTAAAGCAATTAGCACATATACTTTGGAACTTGCTTGCCAACATCATGTTTAAAAAAAAAAAAAAGATGAACACATTACCTCCCACAAAGCAGGCACAGCCACTATTGCCTCAAGCACCTTCTGGAGGTGGCTGATCTGAGGAGGGCAAGTACATGCATGTAAGTCTAATTTCACAACACGCAACCAGGCTGATGTTTTTGGAAAGAAAAAACAGATTTAAGGATGTTCACCAGTCCATCCCCATTGACATTTTTTTTCTCAGAACCAAAGAAAAACTACTTCTTAAAATCCAGACAGATTGTGTCGATACAAGGACTTTTCTGGTGCATGTCGTCTCACCAAGTTGAAGCCCAGAAGCTTCTGAAGCAGACTGTTCCACAGCTGAGGGTCGTACACCTGGTACTCCAGACACAGATCTGCCACCAGCCGCACGGCCTGAAACGACAGAGGCATCAGGCTGTCTGCGTACAATCTGGGTGTAACATTTTCTAACCTAGTGAAGCTAAACTAAAATAAGTACAGTCGTCCTCAAATGTATTCATACCCTCCCATTAAAGAAGGAAAAAAACAAGTTGAAATTGACAAAAGTAATTATAAATTAAAACATTTAATGAAAATCATGACATTGATTTTGAATTGTGGTTCAACAGAAATATTCCAAAAAACAAAAAAACAAGCAAACAAGCAAACAAGCATGATGGGACCCATAAACTACTATTTAGTTGTTTTCTGTAACTCTCAATCAGAATCCAATATTTTGATTTTGGCCCACTGCTCTTTTTTATTTTTTTTTATTTTTATTTTTTTATAAACAATTCAAAAGCAATGTCTTATTTCACTACATTATAATTTACCAAATTTTTATTTGTCATTACTTTTTTCAGTTTCTAGTTATTTGAATGACTAAGGTGAAGTTTGCCTTTTCTTTAATGGAAGGGTATGAACACATTTGAGGACGACTGTATGTGGAACAGTTTTCACTTTTCACAGAACATACCTGTGGCTCATGACTGTGGTTCTTCCACAGCCCTTTAACTAAACCCTCTTTGGGACTACTGAGGAACGATCGCACCGTGTACGGGATGTTTAATGCCTCCAGTTGAGAGACAAAGATGTAGCACTTCAGGTAATATCTGCAAGTGAAAAACATGCATGTAAAAAACACAATGAACCTTCTCTATATTAACATCAATCAAAACTGTGACTATTTAACAGTTTTCTTACAGGATTTTGTTACTGGGGATCTGCAGCTGAGCCTCCAGAGTGGCTGAATCCGCGAGACGGACAAGACAAAGCAGCGCTCGAGTTCGATGGCAGAAGGTCAGACGAGGTCCAGAAGTGCTGAGAGGCTACGGAAAGAAAAACATACATCAGCCACTTTTGTTGGACACTGTGTCCAGTATTGACTCCTTTTTTTATTTTTTATTTATTTATTTTTTTTAAACTCACCCAGGTTTCGGCAGATAGGATAGGTTTCAGAAGACGGACAGCATCATCCATGGAGCAAGACTGCAGCATGTACACCACCCTGGGAGCATCCAATACACACAATAAACCAACCTTGGCTAAACACCAAGTCATTGCAGATGACAAATAACACAATGACTGTCAACCTAATTAAGAGATTAATGCAGGTAAGTTCAATTCACAGCTGACAGGCAACTGAAAATGACATACTCTTTACAGTGTAAAAGCTGTACTGCTCTTTTTTTTATTGAATTCTGGTTATAAGAAAACTTAGCAACGACTCTACCTCATTAAGTCTGGGTCCTCCTCAATGTTGCTGACACAATCTTGATTACCAATATCCTGAATGAAAGAAGAAAAGTTTTATCAAAGTTCCACACAATGATCAGTGCAGCAAATGTGATAAAAAGATGAACAGAAACTAATCCGTTTATAAAAGTAAGGCTGAACCATCACTGACGAACCTTGGCCACAGCTGGGCCCGTTTTGCAGATCCATTTTTCCAACATCATGTTACGGATTTTCAGAATATCCACCTTGTTGATTGTGGCTATTTCCTTAACTGCAGCGTGTATGTCTGAGACAAAGACACATGATTCCATTTAAGAAAAACATACTGTCAATGTCCTGCGCCCATCATCTATGTGAGCACTAATGAACAAACCTGGTCTCAGATCAGAAGATGAACTGCTGTTTTAATACATGCTCACCTGGATAGGTTTGACCTCCTGACTCTCTGTATCGCTGCTCCACACTGCTGTGCTCGTACAGAGCCACAATGAGCCTGGCTGGCAGTCCAGTCAGTTTCAGGTGCTCTGGGCTGCTCAGCTGACTGGCAATCAACGTATTCTCAGTGGCGGAGCGCTGAAACTGCAGCTTCAGCTTCGACAGGAAGGTCTCCCCTCTGGCCCGTGCTGCCTCCTGCTTGGAATCAAACAGAAGTTGGTTGAAGAAAACCAGCAAATATATGAAAAACTTTCTACATTTAAGACATTTTTTAAGCTTGACAATTAGTATTTCTGCAGGTAAGAAAACTCAAAAACTGACCTCAAGGTTTGGATCCTTCAGCCATGCATCTCCAAGAGCCAAACAGAACCTAAGCGACTGTGTTTTCTCATAGCCTGGAGAGAGCAGGAAACAGTTTAGTACATATATTAAAACGTACCCAGCAGTGTAGTGAAGCGGCTGATGTGCAGTTCAAACCTGGTGGAAGCTCCTGGGTTATCCTGTGGGCCGTGGCAGCAGCCCACTCTGGGCTCTGGATGCAGTGGATGTACTTCATCATGGTCATGGCCACCTTGAAAGTCTCCTTATTGTTGCCGTGGTGACCCTGAGCCTTCTTCCTTTGCTCTAAGAGTAAAGGCTTCATCTTCTTCTCAAACACATGGTTCGCTGCTGACATGTACAACTTGTCAAGACTCACCTGGAAAGAGACGGGAAGGTCTGAATAAACTAAACAGTGACACTTGATGGACAAACCTAAAATTTCTGCAATTACACAGGCTAAATATTTGATAAGTGTGCTTTACCTTCATCAGTTTGCTAATGAGAAGAAGTGTGGGGAAGGTCTCCTCAGTGAGTTCAGGAGCTAAACATAGAAGAATATTCCAATATTTTAACTACTTCAGGAATTTACAGGTTGTTATGTTGGAAATAATGTGACCTCCCTTTAGTTAAGGGTGTTCTCTTCTTTTTTGATTACCCCTGACACCAACATTCAGAGGGTCAGGATCGAATAAAGTCAGAGCACATTGAGTTTGTCATCATTAATACTGACAACTTACAGATAATCTTCCAGTAATGCTTGGTTTGCATAAGCAGGTGGAAGGGAAGTCTGCTGCTGGACAAGGGGTTTGGCAGCAGACTGTTCTCGAGAAGATACGTGTTCTCAACATCTGAGGGAGGAGAGACTCGCTTGTAGGACTTCAGGTGCTGAAGGAGGCCCATTGCCTGCAGATCAAAAGACAATGAGTCCTTGTCTGCACAGTACAATGTGACACAAATGAATGAACAATTTAACTGTAAATATGCCAATGTGTTGTCTTTTTACCTGACTAACAGAGAATCTGGTCACATTCTCATCTGCAGCCTGTATGATCTTCAGCACTACTTCGATTCTCTCGTAGTTATAAGGGCTGAGCTGTATAAGAAAGGCATTTTAAAGATCAGGTAGGCTGGCAAACTTTTTGAACTGAAGTAGAAACACCTCAAGAACTGGATGATACAACTTGCTGCAGTGGTGTAGTTCATTTTACTTCATAATTAATCATTCTGGCTGTTGTTATTTAAAAGAATAAAGGCATGTCGATATAGATTTTTGATAAATTACTATAATAGAAACAAAAATGAATTGACACTGAGCTCTTGTCATAATGAAAAACTACTTGAAACAGATCTCTCTTCTAACTCGGACCTTGAATATGGCAGCACAGAGACTGTCGGTGAGCTCGTTGGTGCTGTGCAGCATTGGGATGATCTGCAGGACTCGTTCAAGCGTGTCGGCGTGACACAGCGGCTGCATCTCTTCCTGTCCTGGGTCTCCTGCACCTTCCTCGTCCTCTTGCAGCAGCAGTAATGTGGTAATGTACTGGTTGATTACACCGTCGTGGTCTAGACCAAAGGTACTGCAGATGGATGTAAAGGATCATTTTTAGCACAGGCGGGGAAGTTCCATAACACACCAGTGTGTACACTTAAAGCAGAGTCCAGACCCACTTGTTGAATATTCTTCACTGATGAGAGAAAGTCACCACAGAAAGTAAGAAACTGACCTGCAGTACTGGAGGATAATGTCTGGAGTGATCTTCCTGTTCTTCACCAAAACAGGGATCAGGCTGCTCTTCATCTCAGGTCGCTGGCGGAACACTGGCTGGATAGATATCTAGAGCAGAGCAGAGGTACAAATGTCTAATAACACTAATTCTGAATAAGCACATTGTTTTTCAGATTGCTCCTGGCCAGCTGTGTTTAAGTGCTGCATTACCTCTAATTTGCTAAGCTTGATGCCCCACTCAGCATCAGTGATGACAGAGAGAAACTTCTTTTGTTCCTCTGCCTCATTGTACAAGCAGCAGAGATTGGCCCCAACCCTCGCCACAGCCTGAAACAGTCAAAACACAACTTCAGTTTCTTGAAGACAGTATGAATGGAAATGTGCATGAACATGTTTCTGTACATGTAATCTTTTCTTCCCAACAATTTTTTTTACAAAGTTTTTATGATCTCACACAGCATTAAACGATCAATAAAGCTGGTAAACAGTTTAAGTTTAATAAATACTCCACAAATCAGTTTCAGAGAGTCCAATCTCATGAATGAAAACAACAAAATTAGATTTTCATGAATTAATCAGTGACATACAAACCTCACCCTCTTGCTAATCCAGAAAAAGCTTTAACTTCTGGTATTTACATTTTTGTCTAGCTCCTTCTCTTTAATTTTATTTGTTAAAACAATAAAATGTTTAGCAATAAAATAAGAAAAACAGAAATTATTTCCTACCAAAATTTTGTCATAGTTTTGCCAAGTGTTGTCAATGACTTTCCACAGTATTTTGAAGACATCCACTTTAGAGAGGAGCGTGCAGAGTCCAATAGCCAAATCACAATCGACCACCCTCCAGTTAAACACCTAGAAATAGAGATAAAGTTATTTAGAAATGCTGTAAATCTTCCACTATCTTTTTATGACGTTGGACTTTGGAGACTCACCTTGTTCAAGAGGGCCACAGCCACAGCGTTCAGAATAGACGTAGTGGTCTTTCTGAGATCATTCAGGCATACATTGTACTTCTTAAGCTCTTGTGAATCATAAAGCTGAAAGGCAGAAACAAGTTACAGTGCATTTAGGTAAGTATCACACACAGGGAGCAAAGGGTGTAATTATGGTTCAATTTTTCAAGAAAACCACTGTAAATGTCACAGTCATACCTGTGCACTTAGCTTTATGTCCATGACATTAGAGGTGACATGCTGCAGACAGCTGCCGTACGAGTTGACCAGCACTCTGAGGGCCAACTCCAGCTGACTGCACTCCTGTAACATCTGGAGCATGTTGGTAAGAGGACCGAGGAGGGGCTGCAGATAGTTCGAACCTGTACGTGGGCCATGCAAGACGAGATAAATTTTCTAAATTACAATTTGAGGAAGAAAAGAGGGGAGGTTTCTATATAAATACCTACCGTCTTCGAATGAGCAGTGAGACAGACACGAACAGTCCAGCGGGTACAGTTTGGTATCTGCAAGTACAGCGATAAATTAGCAAAGTAGCTGATGAGACCAGTTACAGGGAGACTGCTTAATCCGAAAGAGACATTAAAATGGTATGTGTAGTAAAACAACACAATAAAATGAACTTCTTACCCTGAGAAATAGGCAGCAGACAGTTGGTAATTTCGTACTGGACAGGGAGCACCGACACTGGGTCCAGAACGATGCAGTCTTCATTGAATACGTCTTGAAAACTCCACTGAGAACAAGGATCTTTTTCTGCCTCCACAGTCAGATCCTATGACATTAAACAATTCCGATTTACAGTTAAATGAACACATTGTGCTCATTTCACAGCATTACTTCATTGTATTTAATTAAAAGTTTTATTAAATGCTTGAAAAAAAATGACAGGAAATTTGCAACTGTTAAAATATTCATATTTAATAGGATGTCTTTTACTTTAAGTCCACACATTCCTGCTATCCTCTCTCTAAGGGATTCCCAGTTACTGATATCTAAGTTATCATAATTCATTTTAATGCCAGTTGACAATTAATCAGCATTAAAGTACAAGTACAAACATAAACCAGGCCAAAATAAAGTACATCAAATGTTATTCTATGAAAAAGGACAAGACACTGACCTTTGCTATGAAGCCATAGTTGTCTGACAACTGACACTGATGATAGACATCCATGGCGATCCGTGTGCACTTGCAAAGCTCCAGGCAGTCCAGAAGCAGATCTGTGGCAGTTGAAATATTGAAATATTAATGTTGGGGATTTAGTAACTTGCACATGATTTGAAGCTATAAGGAGAAGTCAGTTTGAGTCAGACCTCAAGTGTTACACAAAGAAAACAACTGTCTTGTGAACTATTTGGCCTAAACTGTCGAAAAGTGTTACCACTGTCTATTGCCCAGAAGACAGTCATATATTAAAAAGATTTCTTGTGTTTTTGATCTTCTGAAACTCTGCTTCTCTATCACCTGTGTTATTTTTAACTTATACTTTTTGCTGAATTTCACATGAATGAAGACTTCAAACTTCCAGTCTACCTTGCATAACAAACGTGTATCCCATTTTTACTGAAAAGTTTCAACAAAATAACAAAAAACTAAATAAGGAAATAATAGTAACAGTTATTTCCATTGACTTCAAGTGTTGTTTGCATGTGTTCTTTACCTGAGTGACACACAGTGATGGCCTGACAGGCCAGATAATGGATGACTGCTGGCAAGTCCATGTCATCAGGAAGCACCATGGGTACATCTGCCTCCAGCATCTGGCACAACGTCTTGGCAGCCGTGAACAAAACCTTCCCAGTACTGCTGTTATAGTGGTGCTCATACAGCTCACTGAAGACATGAGGGCAAAAGAACAAGTGCAACATAATACACCAATCATTTCAAGCTTTAAGAAATATCAGTTTTCAATCCCTGGACTACTCATACACCCAGCAAAACATCCACACATGCCAACCTGAAGATCTTGAGGGCCTTGTCCACCTTGCCCACTCCGAGAGCTCGCAGGGCCAGGTCAGACCAGAGCTCCTGTTCGGTGCGCTGCAGCTGCCTTCCTAGACGGCGTAAACCAGCTTCTGTGGAGATGGTCTTGGTCTTGCCGTCTGGATCATTAGCCACAACCGGAGCTGTTGTAGCCTTCGCCTTTGATGAATGGCGGCCACGGGTGTTTTCATAGGCTGTGATGTGATGCTCCTGGATCTGTTTTCGAATGTTTGGATCCTCATAGTTGGAGGGGGTGAAGAAAACATCAAAGTCCTCCTGAAGAAACCAAATGAAAGGCCGCAGGTTAAAAAACAAATCAAAAAAGAGTGGGAATCATACTGACACACATTTCTTGACTGAAGCTCACCTGCAGGTGGGCGATCGCCTTGAACATGATGAGATTGTTCTCACACTCCATGCTTTTAAGAGCATCGTCTGCAGAGGACATAAAAACCTGCCATCACACTTGGATGCTTAGATGTACGACAATGACTTTTTATGGTTATTTCTTCTATAACATTTGTTTATACAACGAATTCCAGCTGTTTTTATGCGCTTTCAGGTGTCAGGAATATGAAAAGAGTCCAAAAGTGGGGTATTTCTCAGCTCCAGGTAGCAAAATACACTTTCATGAAGAATCTAACAGTCAGCTAAAGAGTAATGATTTACTTCAGAAAACTTTTGCTAGGTTAATGTTTACTAACAGGGTTAGGGAGACCATTTCTGAAAGACAAGTGAATCAAGTCAGTTTCAAGTAAAGTAAACACTTACGTTTTTGGATTACATGCAGGTATTTCAAAGCCTCCACCATCACTTGAGCTATGACCATTTGATGTTTCTTGTGCTATCAAAGGCAAACAAGACAAAGTGGAGATAAACAAAACATCATCATAATACGCTTACCACAGTGCACTTCTACCTTTTTAGTCAAAAGCACTTCCAATGTCATATATGGTCTACTGTTGTGTATATTTGTGATGTCTATTGTGTATGCATTATCTAAATAGGAAAACAAGAGGTTTCCAGGGAACCCCACAGAAGAAATGCAGACTGGAAAAGTTATGAATGCTTCGCAAGAACAACCTATACTTCCTACAACCATTTTAAAAGCAAACATTGTATGACTTAAGTACTCTTGTATTCACTGAACTGAACCTTGAAGAAAATACACAAAATGCACTTTAATGTTAAAACATAACGTCTTTCCTTTCCTCACCTCATCAGATATGTGGTCTTTGTCCTCCAGCTGCAGCCTGGCCCACGATGTGAGCCGCTCAATCACACACTCTGCCTCTGCAGACGACAGCTTCTTCAGGACGGTTAAGATCTCCTCAGTCTGAAAGCAGCACAAGAGACGTCCTACCAATGTGCAAGGAACGAGGAAAACAACACATAACTACTAAACTGACATTCAACAACCACATGTGGATTAACCTACCTTGCCTTGGCCAATCAGCTGGATGAGATACAGGTAATTGATCTGTGACGTTGGTAGTTTGTACGCATCGGCTAACGTCAGGGAGTCCTCTAAAGCTGTTGGTACGTCTTGCTTCAGGATGTATCTTATCAGTGTCTTCAGAGAAACACATGTGCAGGAATGTTATTTTGCAAGCAGGAACAACAGAAAACTCACGTCACGGAATTGATCAAATCAAACTTACCATGATTTGATTCGTGTTAGAGAGGTTGAAGTTGCGGATGCCGTAGCCTCTGAGAAGTTTCCGAATCTCCATCAGACGGTAGCTCTCTTTTAAAAGCTCTTGTCTGGAGAATAAATCGGGTAGAAGAAAATCATGGAGACACTGATGAGTTTAGCTACTGTTGCTATGTTAAAGGAACCTATTTCCAGGTGAGAACAATGTAAACATACTTTGGTCCATCCATCTCTAGATACTGCTGAACCAGCTTTTCCACCACATTGCTCCAAGGTACCACAGCTTTCTGCATGATCTCCAGCACAGCATCTACCATCAGCTAGAAAGGAAATACAATAATATGAGATTCTACAACTCAAATACATACAGCCTGGCTGATTCTTGACTCAAATATTTGTGCTCTTTAACTCTTAGCATATTGTAAACTATGAGTAAGTGTAATGGTGTCACAGAAACTTACATCAGTATCAGTCATGCAGCCGAGCACAGCCACTGCTTTGGCCTCCCACTCCGTAAAAAGTGTTGTTGTCTGAGAACTGCAGCGTTCTAGCAGATCCTACGGAAGATCAGATTGTGAGCAGAGAAAGAGGCGACTTAAGGTATTTTGAAAACTAAATGCGAGTCCCCAGTAGTTTGGCTGTAGTGGAGTTTTACCTTGATATACTGTAGAAGTAGCTCATCAAAAGGAATCTCGTGCTCTTCAGCGTATGGCAAGATGCTGTTTTCCACTGTGGCGGCGATCAGCTCTGGAGCCGGCACTTTGTCCAGCATGAAGAATGCCACACTCAATGCACTCCCCTTTCAAATTAACATACATAAAAAATTATTATCATGGGAACGACAACACATTTTAATTGGGATAAACGTCATCCTGTGATCTACATAACATGTGGGACCCTTGGATGGAGCTCAGACATAATTAGATACGTAACTCATGAAAGACGAACCTTCTCAAAGACTGAAAGGGAAAGTTTGCAGTTGTATTTCCGGTGGAGGTCCAGCAGCCTACGAAGGTTGGACACCAGGGCCTTGAGGTTCTCCACCTCCCTTGCACCGTTATTATCGTCCTTCAGAACAAATTAAAAGATATCAATAAATTGTGAGCCACATAAGATCATGGTACATAAGCTGCATGTAAAGCATACTGTATGATTATTGTGGCGGCACAAATAAAATCTGTATCTAACTTACAGATTTCATCCATGTCCATAAAGAGGGCACCCCAAGCACTGCTAAGTCCAACCCGTTCTGGGGCCAAGCACCCTGGAGAAAAATATGACACTTATAATCCCTGGTTCAACTTTATACAAATAATTAACAAAAATAACAATTAAAAAATGTAAAACTGTGCATTTTGTACATGATTGTTTGATCTACTATTGTTCAGTGATCAAAACAATAACAACAGCAAATAAACATATATTCATCAACAACCATTATTAAAGCTATACTGTATTGCACAACTATAAAAGAGAGTTTTACTCAGCTTAAGTTTTTCAAGTGAGTATTATTTTACCTTTTCTGTCAGCTCCAAATTCCTTGCTTTCTGCTCGAGCCATTTTGCCAAGTTTCTCTATAAGGACAGGCAGACAGAACTTTCACTAAACATAGCACCATATGGCAGATGACAGTATTTTATGCATGAGTGAACGCATCCCACCTGTCCTCCTGGGAGCACTCGCCTCACAAACGGAACAAAAACCGTCCGGAACCAGGGACAGAGGTCTTGGGACGGCAGGTCCTCTGGGATGGCACTGAGTATGGCTTCAAGCCTGCTTTCATCAAACTCTACAGCAATCTGCCCCTGTCGCAAAAAACACCCAAACCCACCAATAAGCGTCATATCTGACCTGAACACAATTTACACAGAAATGTCTTGATTTGTCTTTATTGATACAGTGTCAAATTATTGATAAATGAGATATTTCTATGCCATAGTTCTAATGAATACATAAGCTGTTCTGATTTAAATATCTGTTACCTCGTATCTGAGCCAAAGCAGTTGTGCACCCTTCATGTCTCCGTCTCTTAGATGGGTCAGGATGTCTCCTAAATTATCAGTGCTATTCAGAAACTCAATCCAGGCAATTCCACTGTGGATGACAAAGTAATAAGCCAAAATAATTAATTACTGCACACAATGATCAAACCACAATATAGAACACAATGATACAGTATTGCCCATTAGAGGTGTAGACTTTACTTGAAATTTTCCAAGCCTTGCAGGCTGCAAAATGTTGCCAGCCTGGCTAAGGCTTCTTGAATCTGTAGGGAGGAGTATCGTGTAGCTGCATGGTTTAACATCTTCTCCGCTGTCTCAAACGTCGGCCACGGAGCCTTGAGGCAGTAGTCCACCACATACTGCTCATCCTAAGTGAAACGAAAAATGTTACAGTTATTGTTACAGAGTTGATTCTCAACAACAGTTTCTGATTCCTGTGACATCAACATTTTATAGGAGCAAAGTGAGATCTGACAAAAACAGCACTGTTACACTCACTGTGATCTTTGTCAAGTTGGTCTTGGCCTCATCTACAAGTTCAGACCACACATCCTGTCCATATCCACCCACCGATGCAGAGGCCAGCTGCTCCAGCACAAAGTCGAGCTTCACCTTGTAGACAAGCTGAGCAAAAAGAGGACTTTTAGTGATGTATAGCCTAAATTTCACCAACAGTAACAACAGTACATTTGTTTTTCTACTTTTTGTATATTAAGGCCAAATTTTACTTTGCTTGTCAAGGCAGACACACTGACCTCCAAATCCAGCTCAAATGTGATGGCAAATTTTTCAGCCTCTTCAAACATGTGTTTATGAAGAAGTCTGCTAAATCTTGAAACACAGAAAAGTCAAATTACAACTAGAACTATGGTTCAAAAACTGCAACTAATATAGAAATGTAACCAACTTAAATGAGGTACCTGTTCTCAGGCAAAGCCTCTGTGAAGCATCTGACAACAACAGAGGCTATAGGCTGTCCCCGACTACTTGAAGAGCAAGAAGAAAAAGCACAGGTTGATATCGCAACACTCAAATACGGGCTGAAAATCAATAATAATAATTATACACTCTACCTTTCTGGGTTCTCGCAAATCCCCTCAACTAAATAAATCGCATCCTGTAATTAGAGGAGGAAACAACTGACTTAAATATGTAGAAACATTAACATCTAGAAGCAGCACATGCAAAATCTATGTAACTATTTAAAAAGTTTGAATTGTTTACCATGTTTATTTTTGTCTGGACAAGACAGGAGACTGAGGACACATCAAGAGAGTAGCAGACAGTCATAGAGGGCAGAAATCGGATTTGCAGAGAGCTGATCTGAAAAATGAAAAACCAGCATATTTTGCTCAGAACAAGATTTGAGACAGTCACTTATGTTTCTTTAAAGGGAGTTGTGTTGCTACCTGACTGCTGTCTTGCTTTGTCAGTGTAATCATCTTCATGCTGCCCTTGTCTTGGCTGAAACACACAGATTAATTCCAACAGTGTTTAAAGGACACTCATGCCACTGTTATATTTACAGTTAAAGGATGTCATATAAGATCGATACATACGCCACCATGGAGGCAGAGCCGCACTCTGTGGTGAGTTCAAAGTCATAAATGGAAAGATCCGGCCAACAGTGAACCATGACGAGGAAATGCAGGTCCCAAAGACTCAGAATATCCTGAGACAGAGGAACCAAGTGGGCAATACTTAAACCTCAAATATTTCATAATGAAAGCTTGGTTTATCCAACAGCTCACGGAGACACCACTGAACTCACCTCAGTGTCCAGAATATACAAGAGATTGTCCACCACCACCATCTTCTTCACGCCTGTAAAGTAAACATACACACAATGTACTCTTTAAAAAATCTCTTCAGAAATGTACTTTCGTTTTGTGTTATTTTTTCTCCTTGATCCACTGTTTTTTCTGCATTTTATTATATTTATACTCCTTTTAATGCTGAGCAACCATTTTTGAAAATAAAAACAACTCCTACATTCATCCTTTGCTAAATCACCCACAAATTTACAATTTCACTTCTAAAATTCTCTTAAGACGCAGTGACAAAGTGTGGCAATATACAAAATGAAAGAGTTTACCTGGAATTAGGCTACTGTCGATGGAGTGAGCAAAGCACATCTTTGCCTGCTGAGGATCCATCGTCCAGTGAGTCACAACATTGTCTTTATTCCCCTTCAAAATGACAGAAGAGAATATTGTTTTTAGCTTGTTTGTGTATGGAATAATACAAATTTATAGGAAGACTGTATTTACAGCCATACACTCTATTTGAAGCTTAACTTGAAGCTGGTCGGTTTCAATTTCATCTTGAAAACAGTCTGAGTTTACGCATATGTATGTTGTCTCATAGCAGTGGGCTGATTTTGAGGTAACACACGTGGATTTTAAGAAGATTTTACATCAGCTGATCTCGACGCACAGTTTCTGAAAATTAAATTTATAGCAATTTTGCCGATCTAACTTCTCCTAAGCCGGACTCTGCCAGAGTAGCATTTAATTGTGAATGACGTGTAGAAAAACAGCACAGTATAAGATGGACAAAAATAAAATGAGTGATAAATACCTGAAGTAGCATAGTCTGTAATTAGAAGTCTTTTGATTTTGTCCTTTAAATACATTTTCATTCAAATGTAAACGATGTATCATAATTACAATAGGTGAATACATTCATAAAACTTTCATGAACACTGACCCCAATCATGAGGTGGATTTCGTGGCCTAGATTGAACATCACTGCTGTACTGCAGTCCTCATCATGGTAATCCTTGGTGGAGCAAAAGCCTATCTTGATCAGAGACTGGAGCTGAAATCAGAAAAAAAGGCATGATTATTTCTTTGTTGTTAAAAAACAACAACATTTATTTATTGCATAAACCAAGATTGTCTTTACTTACCTCTTTTAAAGCTCCCACATCCATTTTTTCAATGGCTGGCATGGCAAAAGAAAAGGGAATTTTACAATAATCACATCTCATAATCACAACAATAATTTTATTTAGTCAAAAGGGTAGCGTCTAACAAACTTTTTGCCAAATTTTACCATAATATTTTGATACCTGTCTCGATCTTTGCCAAAGCGAGGTTTGTAATGTGGAAGAAACCATCCTTAATGAGAAGGAACACATGGTACATCCCTGTCAATGAAGAACACACAAAGATTCAGATAATTGGACACAACAGCTGGAGAATAACTTTTAAACTCCCTAATGTTTTCTGTGCAGGTTACACATTCATAACTCAATCGATTCCTTTTATATTTATGTATAAATTTTACCCGGAGATGCCTTGTCCTCGTCCATGATGAGATAGCGATAGGTTTTCTTATCTCCACTGGATGGTTCCTCAACCAAAGCCTATAAATCAGGAAAGTGACACAGTACAGAGTTATCAGGAATATTACTGGTGTTTCCATCACATACAGTTGAGTGTTATTCTTCAGAAAGGGTTCAGTATAACAAATAGAGGTCAGAGTGATCAAATGTAAAGTAATACTCTACCAGGCCAGCACATAAAAAACACCCATACCCTGGTGAGGAGGATTTTCTTGTGTGGAACGTAGACCAAATGAAGATTTCCATTTCTTTCACAGACTGCCAAAAACTGTCCATCCAGGCATACATCAATGGCATCCACATCGGTTTCTGAAAAGCAAACCTTGCTATTAATGTACAATAGTTACTGTGACAGGTGAAAACTACGTTGTTGGAAGTTGATAATGAAATCTGATATGTGTAAACTTTCACAGTTTCTTCAAACTGCTTTGAAGAGAAACTGGTGTCTGTTAAACATCCGAGGAAATTCTTGGACCAGCTGATTTGGATGCAGCCACAGAAGAAATCTCAGAGGACACAATCGCACATCTGACAAACAACTAACAACATGGACATAAAAGGAAGAACATAAAATGAAGCTATTTACCAAAGTGAAGAAGCAGAAGGATGGTCTGATAGCTTTGATCAAACAGGATAACTGTCTTGTCAGCAACGACAATACTCCAGTTTGAGCCACTACAGGACGAGAGACGGGGATCTGTGTGCACCTGTAAGACCCAGTATTACCATCAGAACACTGGTCAGAGCTGTCACTACAAGCAGCTAATTTTTGCAAAATACAAGGCAATATTCCTCCAGAGAGGTGTACAACAACACAAGTTAGATAAAACCAGACTTTCTTTGTGCAAGTTGGCTCGACCAAACATACAATAAGAGATGTGCATCACGATGTTGGTTATCAACTTTATTTGTTAAACTAGGTTTTTTTTTCATCAGGCTCTGTGCAGGCTTCCATAAAACAGGGCATTTGTCACGACATTGACTCTTCTTCCACACAAAAAGGCTGACTGATGTAGCACATTGTTAAAATGCAGTGCAATGAAAAATACCAATAGTGCTATTGTATGATGCAAGAGAGGTGTGCTGGTAGAAAGTTGTTAATAATGTAAGCTGATATAAATATATTCATACTCAGTGCACTCCTAATTCCTGCAGCTTATTACTACCATCACAGTTACACAGTATGTATTTCTAATGATAATCAAGAAGCGCATACAGGTCTAACACTGTTCAATAATAAAAGATACATGGAAATCCCATTAGTGTTTGACAAAATTAAAGTAATATTTGGTTACTGGTTGAATATTCTCTGGAATTTACACCAAGATGCTAATTAATTTTACAGTATGTGTTCTAGTAGCTTCAATGCCATCAGTGTAAAAAAACAAAACAAAACTGGGCAGCAAATCTGGACCCAGCATAACAATATATTTATGCATCACCAACTGAATGCATGTAGGTTACCTTGGTAATGTGACACATATGTGTTGCCTACTGTTATTGTATGGCTTCATTTCAGTGGCATCACTAACAAACAGCTCAACAGGTTTGCAGATGTAACATATTCCCTGAGTGGAGAATCTGTGTCACTCATAGAGCATATTCTCAGAACAAGAATTAGTGCAAGGGTGGTGCTTTAAATCTCTGGACAGAACCTCCTCTGGAGCAGGTCAGCTGTGCAGCATCAGTTACCATGGCGACTTAGCTAGATTGGAAGGCTTTAGGGTCGGCTAACGCATTATTCTAGCCTGGCAGTACAGCTCTCAGAGGTCTTCGCTACGCCCCAGGACAAGAGTATGTAGTAAATAAACTCAGCAACAGGGATAGAAGCGAGCATGTGTACTAAACAGTGACAGTCCTTACCTCATTGGCAGTAGAGATTTTGACCAGCGTATCCACCTGGTACAAGCCGCTACCATTTTCCTCTTTTGACACACTGTCAAAACGAACAGTGTTTGTGTCCTCGTTGGTCAAAAGCTCAACGTCGCTCCACATCGCCATGTCCTGGAGCTGAGTGATAAAGAAGATATGTCATTTGGTTACAAAGTAAAAATGATTTAATTCGATGTGACTGCGGAAACTATGTGATTCTGTTGGATGCTAACGTCACCTTAATGTTACGAGAACGCTAATGTTAGCAATTTAGCCAAGACTTTTAAAATAATAACGAAACGTAGGATGAACTGCTGATAGTTTAAACCACCCGCGAATTACTATGTAGACCCAGCTGTTCGTACTCACCGCTTTACTAAAATAATCAGGCAGTAACAACACAGAGGATCAACATCACTCCACCGTTTTAGCTTTAGAATTTGGCGGGTTGCTGCTGTAGGTTCGTAGACGTGACGTTAGCTGTTGTTACCCTGAGTTTTGCCTGGCAGATACAACCTCCTTGTGAGACTACATATAAATCCTTCGTTTTTCACAAGGAATGGCAGAAAGAGCCTGTAACACTGCCTCAATTTTAATATTACATATCTGTGATTTAAACGGAACCATGTAGTTGACAGCGCTTGTTTGTATTGTAGCAACCGTAAGAATAACTGCTGCCTGAAAGTCAAAGCTCAGGATATAGCGAGCAATGTACAACGGGCGGGGCATTGTGGGAATGTCCGGAAAGCGTTGTGCGTTGCCAGGTCTGATGATCTACGACCACATTTGGGGCAGTGGTTCCAAGATTGAGTATTCTTTTCGCTTTCATATAGGAATCATTATATAGTTTCCAAATATTTAATTAGTTGAATACTGAAGAAGAATTGTTTGCCGAGCGTTTATAACGACAAACATCTGATTTATCAGAGTAAAACTCTGCATTCGCAAAGGTAAGGTAAACATTTCTTGTTAGTTGTATTTAATATGTAATTAAATATAATTAATTTTACTCAGTATAAACTGTGTTGTTCGTTATGTTTTGATTAACATTTGCCATGTCTCTGCTCCCTTTTTTTTTTTTGCTTCGTTCGATTTGGGTTTAACAACTGTTCGGCATTTGGGGGACAAAAGAGGCGAAAACTGGCAACCCAGATCAAATTAGCTGAGCAAGACAACGGCCTTAGCAGTGAGCTACATCTCCGCTTGCACAGCCTGCTAAAAGCCTCGATACGCATATACATTGTGCTTCGGCATTATGTCGGTAAGTACCATTATATAACGACGACCAAAACATACATGAATTCAGCTACTTCTAAATAATGTTAGTCTAAGTTTACGATTCTATTCAGAAATTGTTTTTCTTAAAGATGGCGGTTAGCGTCAGTTAGCTTAGCGACCTAGCTAACGCTTAAAATGCTGCGGTGTAGGTCTGAATGACGAACATAGATGGATTTAGCGCGTGCAGATTGGATGTAACGTTGCTCACTGTTTATTTTGTAAATTCGCTAAAATCCACAGGATGGCGTATTTCGAATTAGCCAAGGTAGTGGCCGCACATCGGAATCAGTAAGAGCTAACCGTATTTAACATTGCGATGACCTGCGAGATGTGTGTGAACTAAGGCAGCGCTATTAATGGCATTGTTAAAAGCGCTGTTTTTTGTGTTTGGTAGTCACTGAATCTTTTAGGCCGGGTTTTGTTAAATCGTTGACTTAAGTATTTGTGAAATGCACACAACGGTGTGATAAAAAGTGTGGAGCTATATGAACATCATTTTCCCAGGACAGAGCACATAATAGGTCTAAACAATGAGCCTATGAAGAAAGGCTATACAGCTCTGCAGCCCATGCTTACAGAGCCGTTTTAATGTATTTCATTTACGGTTTGATTAAGATTACTCAGCTGCTAAGTGATCTTAATGTGCAAAGAATTTTCATGTTCTAGAAAATATTTAAATAAAATCATATATGTCCGTTGAAAATGTAATGAGATGCGTAGGATACTTGTATATGTGGGCCCCCTAGTTGTAACCTTAAGGTTTTATCTTCGAACAGCATTTGGTAGAGCTGAAGCCAACATATATTATCAGTATCAATAAATTAGTCAGTTATTACTTTAGATGATTATTTAAGGTCTGATAACTTAGTGTAGCCCAATTTATTGCCCTAAAACCAACTTTTAAAACGTACATTTTCATAAAAAATAACTTCTGCTTTCTACACACACACACACACAGATGTTTAGGTTGGCTACAATGCAGATGGTGTTGTTTCTGGTAAAAGCCTGATTTCAACAACAATAATAATGGCAAGTTATGCAAATAGCATTCGTACAGCTAATGAGCAAATTTAGGATCTCACTGCTTGGTTGACACTTGAGATCCAGTAACACGGTGCAGATCCACTTCAGTGTTGTGGAAAAATCTGTTTTAATTTAAAATGGTCTCATACATTCGTACTTGAACTTCACTAAAAGTCGTCTCAGTTTTATGTTAGCTTGTTCAGCTGTGACCAGAGATAACCTAAAGAAAATAGTTTGCACTGCCTTTGCGGGTGTGTACAACTACGAAGTTACTTCTTGAGCAAACTGCACCACACTGACTTGCTTCTAATGTGGTTTCACTTGTTTGTTTCAGGCAAGTGACAACGACTCTGTCGACTTGGCCAGAACAGGCTCCCCCGTGCATCACAGAAAAAAGCACAGTATGGAGTCATCTAGATCGCCCAGAAGCTCCAAACACCACCATTCACGGTCAAGGTCACGCTCCAGGGACAGAAAACGTTAGTATTATGTAATAGTACCCAGAGAACACTGAAAATGACACACATATAAGGACCTTGAGATGAAACTTATTTTTAATATATTCTTTCATGAAATGAATAAGTTGAATGTGTTGGAGGAACAGAATCGCTTACTGGTGAAGACACATATCTAAATGTTCTAATATTGATGAGGTGACTGAGGTTATTTCTCCCACATATAGTTACATGAAAACAAATGACAGCATGTTAATACAGTGACTGAGCAAATCTATCCTCAGATGTTCTTTATAAAAAAGTGCAGATTTAATGTGTGCACAGCAAAAAACATATTGTATACCACAGCAGAACCTCATTTTGAATTTGCCAACACTCTGCTTTCTGCTGTTTTCAGGTGACAGAAAGTACAGACGAAGTCGCAGCAGGAGCAAAGAGGTAATTGATGCATTTATTTCTATGATTAGAAACACATTAGATGTGATTTTAAAGACCTTTTTGAAGTTATATTCCTTGCTAGCTTTAGGTAGAGGTGAGTATGTTTTATTAGGTTAAACTTGTTGCAGTAGCCAAAGTTAAGAAAGACAGAAACAGATGGTGATGGGCTTACTCACATGGAAAGACTCCTTTTTTTTGCCCGTCTTATGCTGACATGTTTCAAAGGAAGCTTGTGTCCTTGGATATCTGTCATTATTTATAACCATATTAAATGGTGAAGAGTAGTTTTTTTTTTTTTCCTTTTATTTTTTGTTAAATCCTGTGTGTAGATCACATGATAACATTTCTACAATAAATCATACTCAGCGTGCTAATGCACGAAGAGACTGAACAGAGGACCCTGCTGACATAGCAAAATAATATGCCTACTACTGGGACAGGTAACTATCTGCCATTCAAACTCCTATTTGTCTCACATTATTAGTAGAAAAGTTGGAATTAACTCTTGCATCTCTTGCAGCTAGGGATGGGCATAATTAATCTGATTAATCTTAAAATTATTCCAAATAGACTCTCGTGCAAAATTCTAAAAAGTCAATTGGATGCCCATCCCTACTTGAACTTTTCAGTGGGTACCAATTCAAAGCATTTATGTTTCACTGAATTGTTGCTGCTAAATTGATAAACCTTGTTAAGGATTTTTCTCCTGAGAACCAGATATTAAGGTTTGCATGCACACTATCCAAATTAATGTGAGGTTCCAAACATGCTGGTTTGACAATTCCTTAAGCTTTTTTGGAAATGAATCCAGTCACAGAAATGCCCACACTTACAATCATGCTCTGAGAATGACGTTTTGTACATGTTAAGGAAATGGGATTGAAATGACAAGGTTTTTTTTTTTGAACTTGTCAAATTTATGACATAAGTTCTGCTGTAAGTCATGGTACTAACTCTTTTTGTTGCACTATTTTCCTGAAAGAGACAACTTCTTCTTAAAACAGGCACGAAAGAGAGACTCTGAGAAGCAATCAAAATCACACAGAAAAACAGATGAGCAGCAAGAGCAAGAGAGACTTTCAGCAGAGAATGGAGAGGAGCGATCCAGGCGCAAGGACAGGAAGTCCTCCAAGGGCCGGAGCTTGTCCAGGTCACACTCAAGAGAGAGGTGAGTTGTGTCAATAAAGTGCACCCACAGCACACATTATAAACGGAGGTCATTTTCACACAACAAACACAACGGTACTGAAAAAGCCTGTTCTGTATAATTCTGAAAAATGAAATTACTGTTGCATTTAATTGATGCCATTAAGTTCTTGGATTCATATTGATGGATGAATGTTATGGCTTTCAGGCGGCACCACAGCAGAAGTAGGGACAAACGGCGATCGCGATCACGCAGCCGGGACAGGAAGAAGAAGGCCAGGTCTCGCTCTGGTTCAAGGACCAAACACCGTCATCACAGCAGAAGTCGCAGTAAGAGCAGGTGAGCTCAAGTATAATAAGTCCATTGTGGTGATGAAGTGTTTCGGAACCTTTGCCCTCCATTTAATGTGCTGTAGTAACTGTATGTTTAATGAATTACTTTGGTTGTTCCCCCAGAGAGAGAAAGAAAAGGACGGAAAAAGTGCGCCGAAAGAGTCGAAGCAGGTCTGTTAATCCACCTGCCTTCCGGGGCCGAAACACAGCTATGGATGCACAGGAGGCCCTGGCCAGAAGGCAAGGCAACAGCTAACAGGGCATTTACAATGTAGATGTCTGGCTGTTCTGGCTGATTCTAGGAAATGTTGGTGGTTCTTGAGTTTTTAGCCAGGCATTGTCAAATTTTACTGCTGTGTTATTGCTTTGATATTTTATGAAGTTAATATAACTCATGAGCAAGCAGACACTTGGTCGTATAAATGAAGCCAGACAGAAAAATATATTGAAATCTTTCCCCAACAATTGAGACATTTATTTCAGTAATTTAGATCGACGTTAAGGATTACTTCTTATCCATGTTGCCTTTGCCAGATAGCAAGGTTGTTCATAAAAGACAATTCTGTCGATTGCTGAACCAGTGTCTTCAGTGCCTATTCAGCATTTATGGTTTGAGTCTGGATAGGGTTCTTTGTTTCATGTTGCCTCCTTTGTTCCTTTTCTCTGTTAATTAACGGTAAAAAGCAAAAAATAATTATTGCCTTGATAGTAAGATATGATTTATCATTCAGAGATTCAAGTTGTTAGATACTTTGCATTGAGCATAATTTGTCTTTTTCAGCCAGCTGAGCAAATTAATCTTTCTCTTTTTTTCTATTTAGGCTAGAGAGAGCCAAGAAACTACAGGAGCAGAAGGAGAAGGAAATGTTTGAGAAACAGCAGCAGCAGCAGCAGGAGATAGCTGCAGGTAAGAAGGGCTCAAAGTGTAAAATTGTAATACCTTGATCACTGAGTCAAGATTCAGCGACTTATGCTGGTCTGTATTTTGTTTTCAGTGGCTGCCCCTATAGCAGCGGCGGCTGCAGCAGCAGCAGCTGCCTCAAACCCTGCCCTCAATGTGGCAGCCCTCCTGGCCTCTGGGACGCAGGTCACGCCACAGATTGCCATGGCAGCACAGATGGCAGCCCTTCAAGCAAAAACCCTGGCAGAGACTGGTATTGCTGTGCCTAGCTACTATAACCCATCCGCCGTAAACCCCATGAAGTTTGCAGAGCAGGAGAAAAAGAGGAAAATGCTATGGCAGGGAAAGAAGGATGGGGTAAGATTTGATTTTGCCGCTGCCAATGCTTTTCATGCCCAGCTTTTCATTCTCAGATTGTCTAAACAGGTGTATTCTGATATCCAATGTGTTCATGTTTGTCACTACATGGTCACTTAATGTCGGCTTTTATTTTTTAAGGACAAGTCCCAGACAGCAGAGTTATGGGAGAAGCTAAACTTCGGAAACAAGGACCAAAATGTTAAGTTTCGCAAACTAATGGGCATAAAAGTAAGTATCATTTGTTGTTTTACTTAACCAAAGTTAAGCTCAGCCCTCCACTTTGAGCTCTCCCAGCTACAACTTGTCAGCGTTAACCAGAATTCTTTGTCTCTGCAGGGAGACGATGAGGCAGAAGCTTCCAAACCACTTAATGATGAAGGTTTGAAGACTCTTCAGAAGCAGGAGGAGATGTTTAGGAACCTTGATGTACAGTACGAGATGGCTCGGTCTCAAACACACACCCAGAGGGGGATGGGCCTCGGCTTTTCCTCCTCATTCTCACGTGGAATGGATTCTGTCTAGTGCCAAACACTGGCCATCATTGCCACTCATCCGATCATATAGGACTACCAATTCATCGCTAGCCCCGAAGCTTGCATGGACGTTGCTCTGAATCTGTAATTTATTTATAGACAAAGGTCTCGCATATTGGAACATAATGTAAATAGCCAGATACTGAGTTGGTCTCAGTATTTATTAATCTGTACATCTTTGGAAAAGGAAGCATCATTTTCACTGGTTGGTGCTGGAGAAACTTAGATATTTGTTTTGAATAATGTGGTAGCTTTTTTTAAACTCAAATATATATTGATATGTGGTTGTTTGAACATAAACTGAATATAATGTGGTTCAAGTGAACACTGTTTACATTCATTTAGAAAAAGGCAACTGAAGTCAATGTAGCATTATCAGAATCCTTAGTTTCACTTCTCTTGATTGGGGAAAAACAAAACATGGGTTGTAATACATATTGTCTTCTGGATTGCCATGGATAGAGATGCGCTTGAAGGGAGTCATATGTTTCAAATGTTCTTGAAATAAATTAGTTTTGTGTTGACAGTGGCTTTTCATACATTGCATCACCTATTTTTTATTTAAGGGTATATCTGTGTGGGTAATAGTAATTTGGTTCAAATGAAGTTTGAATTGAAGCTGCTTAAAATGAATACACCAAGCCTAATATGAAGATAACATTTTTAAATATTACTTTGATGATATATCAAATGAAGCCAAAAGTCAGACTTTAGGGTTTTTCCCTGCATAGAGGAATTTTTAGCAAGCCCCTAAAGGAAAATAACCAAATTTATAAGAACTAAGCATACAGCTAGTCATTACATTTGTTAACCAGATTTATTAATTGGGGTTTCATTTACTCAAGCACAATGGACGTTTATTTTCCTATGACTAGATAACCTTGTTGGTCAGAAATAACTTGAAAAAGAATAATGCTTGCATGACTATGCTGACTGTCAAGAGTAGTCACCCCCCAAAGGCCCATCCTGAGCCACGGAAAACCCTTGAATCATTAAAATTTTGAAAAATAAGCATAATGTGGAAATGTTTTCTTTTCTTGGGATTAAACATACATACACCTACTTGTCAGCCCTAGTTGTTAACAAACCTGATATAAGCGGCATGTGTAGCAAAAAAAGAAAGAAAAGAAGTTGCAACTTCACACATAGAAATTCACATTTATTAGAACTCTGAAAGTTAAGATAAACTGCAGGCCTTCTGTTGGTACCTGTAGTGAAATTCTGTTACTTACATATAAGACTGGAGTACAGCACATGAGCTACACCAGTGATGAGGTTGTGGTTTGCAAACTCGAGGATAAGGAGCAGGATTGGGTATTCGCTGCGTCTCTTTTCCAGGGAGGACTCCTCACTTAAGCCCATCCAGTGAAGCAGCAGTGTTTGCATGGCTTCAGGGAAGAGCTCTGTGGCTAGTTCCTCAGCAGGTGGCAAGTCGCTTATTCGTTCAATATGCTGAACTTTAAAGCCCTCCACTTTCTGGCTGATGCTGCTGTTGGCTGCATGAAACTGCTGTCCAAGCCAGCGTCCTACACAACTAAGCAGAGAGCTTGAATACACAGAGCCCCAGTCTTTGGCCTTTAGCAGAGCTAGCACAGTTTCAGTTGCATCCTTTTCTTCTAGATTCCCTTTTATGTAGCGATTGATGTTTTCCAAAAGCAGCGAGACAGTCTCTAGCTGTTCTGTGCAGCTCTGAGGTTCAGAGGAGAGTTGGTCATCCAAGCTGCGCAATTTTTGTCTCACTGAGGATACAAGAGGTTGACTTTGCTCTGTTTGAAAACTCTGACTTTGAGAAGAACAGTAATCATGATCTGCTGATGATTTGGCTGCGTCACTGCCACATACATCCACCATTTCTCTCTCAGCCTGGCAATAAAAGGGCTGTGACATTTCATTCTTTGATCCTGTGTCACGCTGGCCAAGGGGCACTGAAACGTCAAGCTGCACACTGAGGCTGTAACTTATGTTCAGATGGCTGTCATTTAACTGTGATTTCCAAACATCCTGCAGAGGAAAGACAGTAATATTAAAAAATACACAGTGGTATATATATATAAATCAAATCATGCAGAGAATTACATAACACACGTACCTGGAAATTCTCCAGCACTGCAAGCTGTTCTTGCTTACTGTACATTTCAAAGGCAACTCGAAAAAGTCCTTGAATGCTGTAGAACCACAAGCTATTATTTGCAGCGGGCACCTTCAACCCATTGAACCGGAATCCTGCAAGAAAAAAAAGTGTGGGCATTGGTTAAGCCACGGTGTTATGTCTTATCTCAGTGTTACGTCTTTCTCTTCTATATTTTACCTGAAGAAAAATGTATTTTTGTGGCAAGTCCTTTCTTGGCAAACTTGGCATGGTATCGGGGATGGTTCTCTGTACGGATGTTTGTGTTGGACAGAAGATCAGCTCCCAAATACAGAGGAATCACTGGATGCTGAAACAGAGAAAATGGAGCCATGTGATTGCTAAGTTTTTGAATAATATCGGTTAACAAACTGGGAAAAGGGCTGTTGTATATAACATAGAAACTTATCTTACTATGAATGTAAATAGTTGTCGTACAGTTACAATACAAGAACAGATACAAAAAAAAATACTAAGTGCAAGCACTCATGGAGAATGATCCACCTCAGAATAATGTGTATTGTATTACTAGAATATATTTAATGTGTTTGTCACTTTGATGTCACAGCTGGTGAGGGTGAAGCTAATGACTTTATTAAGTGCTGGATGTTTGTAATTTTCTCCTTAATAACAAATGAGACTTCTCAACAATAATACATCATCATTTATTTGTTGATTATATTAAATGTATTAATCTGAATAGAAGTAACTAGTAATCAGAGTTATCAAATAAATGTAGAAGAGAAAAACGTGCCTTTGAATTGCAGTGAAGTAAAAGTATATAGCAGCAGAAAATGGAATAGCAAAGAACAAGCACCTCAAGCTTGTAAATGTACTTCGTTACTTTACACTACTGCGTGACTAACACGTGTGTTCATATTTAAGAATTGGTGATGATGATATAGCACTCTCTAGCGGGTTTTAGGGATTATGAAAAATGTGACTGTAAAATAAATCTGCCATCTCTTTTCGAAGCTATCAGTACAAAAGCATCTTCGAGCCTTGAAGTGACTCACCTTGTTGGGACACTCTGTCAGCCTGAACGATGTCACATTCACCAAGTAAACAAAGCGGATTTTTCGTGAACCCCCGTCCCACTGTGGTAGAGTTAAGTGAACAGTTGGACAACTTGACATTGCTGGAAGCAAACGAAGCTTCTCACTCATTTACAACTGTGTCTTGTTTCGTAGACAGGATGAATATTGACCAAAACATCGGAAGTAAATAAGTCAACCAGCTGCAACAAACCGAACTGTTCCAACTAATCAGTATTTGGAGTGATTTGAACCCTGGATTATGCCTGGCAGACCAAAGAAGCCGTCTTTTTAACGACACTTTTATGAGTAACGAACATATTTACGCATACAAAGCCATAGCATTCAAAATACGTGTAGTTTGCTGTAGTCTGAGAGATGTTTTGCCTCGTCTTCTATCATTTACGTAACCTGCAATACAGTGTTGTGGGCTAGAAAAAACCCAAAACATCCCTTAACCACGTGATCGCCGGAGGACCAATGACTGCAAAGAGACGTTGTTATGACCTCTCAACTCCCGTCCTGCACCGCGAGGCTGTGTAAAAATGGCTGGGGTAGATTTCGGGGACAGTGAGCTCTTTCAGCAGCTTGATGACTCTGCACCGCCGCTCCCAACCCACATTCGTTTCACGGATGATGAAGGAGACCAGGAGGAGACGAGCCAGCTGCGGAGCAGGCTGGAGGAGTGTGATGACTACATTCAGAAACTCACTGAGGAGAATATCCTTCTGTCAGTTGAGCTAACTGTGTTGCTAGCACTGTAGTGCTAGCTTACTTCTGCTAGCTCAGTGCGCCTCCCGTCTGCAACCAAAACAGTAAACGCTCAACCCGCAGCTGTTTGTTAATGTCTTTTTTTGTAGCATGTCTGTCTGTTTTCTTAACTTAGACGCCACATAAAGTATTGCAAAGGAAGCTAAACATCCTGACACGACCAAGGTAACCAACTGACACAGTGTAATGCTCACTTGAAAGAAATCGAAACCGTTCACACAGTATCCAACCGATTTGCCTTCGTTTTACAGCGGCATCACAGTTGAAGATGTCAACATCGACGGGCCCCTTCTTCAGATACTTTACTCCAACAACACTATCTCAAAGTAAGTAGTGTTTCATTATTTAAATGGGTTTCGTTGCTTTTGTATAGACAGGATCTGTGGCATCTGTTTTGGCAAGCCGAGTTTTAATATTGTTAGTATTTTAAATTATGTTCATTGTTTAGAAAAGTTATTACACTTCTTTGAATTTTTACACTATGGTCAGTGAGATACAATCACAGAATATGAATGGCTTTGTTTGTGAGCACCTCGCCACTGGATTGACATGATAATCATAAGTTGAATGTAATAATGAGTGTTTCCCTGCTAGGAAGTGTCGTCAAGAAATTGAAGACTGCATTTGCAGTGTGATTTTGAAGCATCACAAACCAGGCAATGAAAAAAAGAAATCGTCGTCCTTTCATATAAAACCTCAGGTATTTGCCAAGAAAGTATTTTTTTGTGAGTAATGTCAATGCTGGTATGATTTTTCCTTTAAAAAGAACATGTTCTTTCCTGTACAAAGAGTTCGGCTTTTGCTATGGATGAAGATCTGCAGAAGTTGTCTTCAAGTAGTGTGAGAACAACAACAGAAGCCTTTAAAGTGAGTGTATTCTGTTAGTTTTCACTGTATAGAGTGTGTTATTGTTTCATGGGCAAGTGACTGGGATATTTTCAGATATTGTAAATGCTATATTTACTAATATTAATAAGATGTTTTATTATTTTTCTGTCTTAGGTGGTCGGGAGTGTCTTGTATTTCACTACTTTCAGTGTCGATAAACTTGGGCAGCCTCTGGTGAATGAAAACCCTCAGCTGACAGATGGATGGGATGTTCCAACGTATCTTTAAAATGGATAAATCACACCTCCAACCATTTACTCCCTAAGCAACAGTGTAGTTTGTCAGATCAGGTTTGTCAAGGGAGACTTTTTTTTTTTAGTAAAGGTGTCTTAATTTTTTTTGATGTATGTGCTTATTTTAAAATGGCCATCACAATAGTAGACGTAAATAAAAAAGTTTTAAGTTGATATGATTATACAGCCATGTGTTCATATGTAATATAACTTCCTGAATTGTTGCAAAGCTATCACCAGGTTTTTAACCAAGTGATTGGAACTGATGGACAGGAAATAGAAATGAAGGACAAAAGGTATGACTGTAATTATTTCTGCAAGCTTTATTTAATTTCCTTCTATTTGAAAGTTTTTTTTTCTTCATTTACTGTGTAGTAGATTGCAATATAATAACTTTATCTCTGGTCTGTTCATTGTAGACCGAAGTCCATGTGTTTCAACTGTGGTTCAAGTGCTCATCAGATGAGAGACTGTCCCAAGGTACCATTAATGATATATTGATTAACTCAAATGAAACACAAATGAAAGGTCAGAACTTGATTTATTACATTTATGCCCTGTTATTTCCTAGCCTAAAGACATGGCTGCAATTAATGAGAGAAGAAAGGAGTTTAATCAGAACAGCAACCAGGCCATGCAGAGTAACCAGCGATACCATGCTGATGAAGTGGAGGAGCGCTTTGCTAAATACAAGCCTGGAGTCATGAGGCAGGATTGTTATTTTGTGCACAACAGTAACAGATATAATTTAATCACATGAAATAACTAATGTAACAGTAAAAAGTAAACCTTGATTATGGATTATTTTTATGATGTGCTTTGAGCAGTGAGGAGCTCTTGTCGGCGCTGGGAATTGATGGCAACACCCTGCCTCCTCTGATTTATCGCATGAGGCAGCTAGGCTACCCGCCAGGTTGGCTCAAAGAGGCAGAAATGGAAAACTCTGGCTTATCGCTGTATGATGGAAATGGTATGTTTAGAAACAACAGTGAAAATTCTATGGCCTCAGTGATTTTCATTTCAGAAAACTACTGGAAAACAGTAAGATACATCTGAAATGCACAGAAGTTGGACTGTGTGCTTTTTTTCCCCCTCATACAGTATCTAATGATGGCAGTGTTCCAGACAGCAGCACTTCGCAAAACATTTCCTATGATGTTTCCAAACTGGTGGATTTCCCAGGCTTCAATGTATCTGCATCGCACAAAATGAAAGATGTAAGTCCCAGAACATTCTCTTCAAAATGTTTTGCTGGAGTGTATCACAAGTAAAGTGGTATTATTTTGTTAATTTTTTTTCTTTAACAAAATTAAGACAATTCATTCATGCAAATACTGTAGTATGGAGTCCGTTTTAACTGATGATTTTGTATGTCACAAGGAGTTGCCATCATAAGTGCAGTACATTGACTTTTAAGTAAGAAATTGCAGTGAGTTTTAGTGGCTTTTTTTTTTTTTTTTTTGACAATTGTGCATTTTCTTTTTTCTAACCTCAAGGAGTTCATGCAGTATGGGTCGATTCCGATGCAGAGCAGCCACATGAAGCAGAACTATGCAGCCTACCTGTCCAACAACTTTCCTATGGTATTTATCTTAATGTCTCTAAATGGCTGGGTTTCCTTTTCAAAATATGGCGGTCACAACTCGTTCTTGGCCTCCTTATAACAACAACTTTCTAGCTTTAATCGAACTTTCTGGATATCACATGTCAACACATAAGCAAACACCTCATGTACTACTTATCAGATCAGTACTTATTCTCCATGATGATGACTCAGATTTATTTGTTGTTGGATTACTGTAACCACGTATCAGCTATTACTGTCCTTTCCAACTGTGAATTTGCCTCCTTTTAATCTTTGTGTTGCTTTGCTCTATACAGCAGTTTGTGTTGTCCACATGGCCCATTCTTCATAATCCCATTTAGACAGCAAATCATGATATTATATTATTATATTATATTTCAGTGCACAGTCCTCTGCCATTTCAGACTCTGGATTTTTACATGTATGCTCTTTATTATTTTGCTTGCACTAATAAAGAGAAGACATGCGTTAACTGTATATTTTGGTCAGAGCTTTTAAATGATCTCATTGCGTGTTATTCTTTCTTTCCAACAGCCTGGTGCCACCTGCAACAAGAGACGACATGACGCTGACTCGTCTCCACAGCAAAGGAAGAAGACTAGGTCCAGTCCTGATCGACACTCAGACAGGAGCTCAGATATGGACATTGAGTCAGGTAGCTGTTCATCTATGTTACCTTGTTCCAGCGGGCACATTGTCATGTCTGTCACAACTTACTGTAAGATCAGGTTATGTTCCAAAGCTACTTCAGTAGACATGTTCTAAAAAACAGATGTTCTGTTCCTTTTTGTAGCTAAAATGCATAACAATACACAGTATTATCTGAATCAGCTGTCTCTTTATTTGGTCAGACTGTCACTTTTTAGTCTTTGGGAAAATTAATTTTATTTCTTCCCCCAGATCCAGGAACACCTTATCATCATCAGGCCGCTGGTGACTTCAAGTTCCAACCACCGCTGCCCCCTGGCTCTCCTTGCTTCAGTTCACCTCCTCCTTTACCTCAGGGCACTCCTCCTGCTACACCCACTCCCCCACCTCTCCCTAAAGGTACTCCTCCGCCCACACCCACTAATGGCTCTCCAGCTCTGCGAGGGCGTAACTGGGCAGGAGTTGATGAGACTGCAGAGGGAGCAGAGGATGACCTGACACTGGAGGAACTGGAAGAACAGCAGAGGCTGATCTGGGCAGCTTTAGAGAATGCAGACACTGCCACTAATAGTGACTGTGACACACCTGCAGTGGGAACACCTGCACATGTCGACACAGAGCCGGAGGAGGCGGAAGAAGCAATGGACACAATGAAATCTGCAGAACCTTGCCAGAGCAATGAAACTCAAAAGGAACCGAGTGTTCAAGAGACTTTCTCAGAAAGCCCTGGACCTATTAAAGTTGAGGATGACAGCCCTCAGAGCCCTGAACCAGTCAAAGCCACAGATGACAACCCTCAGAGTCCCCCCCCAGTGAAATCCCATGATGACAGCCCACAGAGCCCTGATCCAGTCAGATGCCTAGAAGACAACCCACAGAGCCCTAATGCAGATTTTCCCAATCCGGAGGCTGGAGATGCCTCTCCTAAGAATGTCGAGAAGATAACAGCAGTTCCTGATCGGAGCAAGTTCGCAGCTGGCATCGTTCCATTTGAAGATACGCCAGAATTCACTGAAGTTGCTGAAGCAACAGGAACCTACCTTAGGATCAGAGACTTGCTGAAAAGCTCCCCTCGAAGTTTGGCAAAGAAGAAATAGAACTGTAGCATCTTGATTACAGCACAAAAACACAATGATATGTGGATATTTTTTTACGCAAAACCTTCTGTTTTCATCCTCATCAGACATGATCTTTAAGCTGTTTTTTGTACCAAGTTGAATGTTTATGCTTTGTGTACATTTGACCTGTAAAAATAGTGAGGGATGGCCTTTTAGGGATGTTCTCACTGGTTTTGACCAGTTAGACTCGGATTTTTGCAGCAGTAGTGTAACTCTGGCTGTTTATTTTATTGTAAAATTTGTAAAATGTTGATTTTCTGACCTGTATTACTTTTCATATTTTGATGGTGAAATTGCTTTTTTTTTATTTTTTATTTTTCTTCCACTTGAATCGCTCTAAAGCCATGAAGTAAACATGCTTGTAATTGCTTCTGTGTATTATTTTTTCTGGCAGCCATAACTTAATGGGCATTTTATTACATTTTACTGTGTGTTGACAGCACAGATTGCCAAATATGTGAACTGACAGCACATTGCTGATTGTTACCCATTTTAGCAGAAAACTCAGTGAGCAAGTTGACCCTCAAATGCTATAAATAAAATCATCTCATTTTGGGTACCGGCTTTTTGAAGAACCTTGCAAAAGAAATTTCATTTTATTTTTTTTATTTTATTATACCCTTTCCTGAAGACACATACATCAAATCATATCAGAGCTGAATTAAGCTCAATTCTCCCTGAGACTGACCTGCCAAGTAAAAAACATTTTGAAATACAGATCTTAAACACAACTTTAAAGAAAGGGCATGTGTTCATACAGTGTTTAAAAAATGATTACCCAACATAATGAATGTCAGTCATGTATAGGAATCTGCTGCTTCTTAGTACAGATAGTAAACATGTATGTGTATGAAATCTAAATTCCCAGTAATGTGAGCATACATGCATACTAAATACACCCACTCCTCGCATACTTATGCAAATACACGAGCACGTGTTTGAGCTTCACAATAACTCATTTAACTTCTTGCAAAGTCACGTGACACTGATGGTGCGTAAGTGCAACTTTTTTAGGGGGTAAAATTACTAACTTTCATAAACAGGCTAGGTAACGCTTAAGCTCTCTGTACGCTTGACGGAGTGCTCCATCTTCCTGAACATATCATCTTTGGTCGGCACCCACCACTGACGTTCCTGTCGGCCGTTGGACAGGCGGCTCGTACGCTGGGCTGTGCCTGCCTGCCTTCCCGTGTGTGTGATCCGCGCAGCAGTCGTCGCGGTTCTCCACCTAGCCTTTGCTAGCTGTGTGTATTTTTTTTTCTCCTCGGAAGGCGAAGCCCGTACAGGAGCATATCAGGTGAGTGCTAGCTCACGCCGAGCTCTTGTATTTCTCTCGGTATGCGGCCGCTGAACAGGGAGAGAGCGGCCGCCGGGTGAAAGTTGTTCCGGTGCCGTAGACGTTACTTGAGGTGTTAGTTTAGCCCCCGCTAGCTAAGCAGCCCGTCCGTTGGTCCCCAACCACCGGCTCGCTGGTGCCGCTCGGGCCTCGCTGCTAACGATACTTAGCACCTAATCACGTCTGTCCTCTCCCTGATTACATCCTGGGATTCATTTAAGCCGAAGAGGGGACAGTTAAGTTACAACAACATTACACTGGTGGCTATCTATACAGGTGATCTAATCTAACATTTTGTAACGCTGACTCAACTTGCAGCAGCAGTGTGCCCTGCTGGAGCTCCGGTGACATTGCGGAGACTTTTGGACTTGTGGAATTCGCTTGAGTCGCTTTAGCTCACCGCAGTGAACGGTTAGTGGCTATTTGGAGGTGTTTGGGTTGGTGCTTAACACTATTACTGCCATTTTTCTTTTTTGCCTCGCCCGAGAGCTACAGCTCAGCTAGCTAGAGTGGTAAGTTAGCCGACATGACATTGTGTTGCGGGGTCCACTTCTACCAGATGTGCCACCTCATCGACAGCTCTCAATCCGCTAGCTGCTGACCGAGGTGTCAGGGCGAGTAAACAAGCTAAATCTGTGCGCAGACCTGAGGATAACTGGATTTACCTCGCAGGAACAGCGTGCGAATATGTCAGTGAAGCAGCTGTGCAATAGTGGAGTGTCTGGATTACACAGTTTTGCAGTTTAAAGGTGTGACTTGGGCTTTTAGTGATTAAGTCTTTCAGTTTCAGACAGAAAGCAGCTTAGCTTGTTTGGATTGATGGCATGACTAAAGCTTCCCTGCGGTGCAATGGCATTTTCACCCTTGACACTCCTGTATTTGTATTTCTGTTGGTCTTTTTCCTCTGATTGCAGTATGGTTTACATGCTCAAGGATATGTATGAGAGAATGGCTGACTTTATTTGTTTATTTCAGCCCCCTGGAGTAGAAGCTGTTATGTTTGATCTTCCAGTATCTCTGTAATACAAATATAAAAATACGCTCTATTGGAAGTCTGGATTTGACATTGGGGCTGCAGTGGAAAACTTGACTATTTCAGTTCTCTGTTATGTCTGGACGCACTTGTAAGAGTCAGACTTTGTGTTTGGCAGGGTGATGTGGATATATACAGGCTGTAAGGTAGACTTTCATGTCTGCTTGTAGACAATAAGGAATGATAACTTTAAAAACCTGTATCCACAAATACTGAAGATACAGGATGCTTCTGGCTCTCATTCTGCCCCTTTTGCTGCTTTTCTGCGCCTTCGTGTGTCGGTGCCAGCAGGGGCCCACGTAATCATCCCAGCAGATGTTTCCTCAAAAAGGAAGAGCTTGAGTTGGCCTTCAGATGACAAAAGCAACAGAGGGAGCGAGGTACATCAGATAATACAAACTTCTGAAGATGTGACGGTGTTTTTTGATGGAAGCCTTTTATGGATGTCATAAAACGTATCCTGCTCGTGTCATGTGTGAAGCAGAAGTTGAGAGGGACACCTCAACAGCCAAGACTGTGGCCGTAGACCAGTCAGAAACATCTGGATCTGCTGAACAGGGCTCAGTATTCTAAAAGTTGCTAGCTTTTACTGACCTGATGAAAAGCAAAGTGGAATGAGGTTCACTGGCTTGTGTCACCATTCGCACCCTCCCGTCAGGCTGCGACTTAACTATGTAGCACTATTATGAAGTTATTTATCTGTTTACTCCATGCTACATTAATTTCAAATTTAAACATGCTTTTCATATTTGAGGACAGTGAAATCATCAAGTGGGGCCAAACTGTTCATTCCCATTGCTTTGAGAGACTCTGACCATGTGAACTTCTATCATTTTGAAACTAGAAGTAGGTTATGCTAATACAGACATCTGGGAAGTTTCAGTTCTGTATCTACCTTTTAGTATATATTCACAAACTTCAGAAATAAGCAGACTACATGGGATTTAGTTTAAGTGTACTTAAGAATTTTATGTGTTGATACATCAGTGTATTAATTTCCTTGAACTTTGCAGAGCTTTGGAATTTGGCTTTTCCCCAGGCAACAGATTAGACCGAGAGTCAGTGGCAAAAGATTAACATAACTGCGGTGGGAAATTCTTCCGTCTAAGTGGATCATGTCTAGCTGACTGCATCAGTTCACCAATCAGCTGAAACATCCTCTGTTAATACTCAAAGGACAAGTGTAGTAAAGCAAGGTGTCTTCCCATGTTTCTGCTATTTAACCTTTTGCTATAATAACATCCAAAATATTGTATATCATTTTTCAGACTACAACAATTCTTCTCCCGTGCCACAGGCTCATCGGTCAGCCTAACTAGATATTGATAAAACTGGTCAAAGTTTAATTTGTATTTTTGTACCAAAAAGACACTTAAAGATACACCAGGCCACACAAATGCTGCTTTATGTGACTTGTAATTTTTACCATGCAGTCAGTCTTCAGCCATTGAAACGCTTTCTTTTTCTGGCCTCCTTATGACCTGAAGGCACTAATCAGTATCATTCAAAGGCACAGCGGGGGAAAACTGGAACACCGCGTTCAAACTGGGTCGTGGCTGCTGATGGCCACTCTTCATTGTCTACTGAGAATTATCTTCAAGGTTGTGTGAGAGCTTGTCTTCTTGGTTGTTTTGGCAAACCAACATACTGTAGCTCTTAGGTTCTTTCAGTAATGAAAGGTATGTTTGTGTGGCCCTGCTGAACAAGTCCTGTATTAAATTTATGCCGTGTGAAGTCAAGTTTCCAGGCTGACTCACAACACTTTGACTTCACAGTTTATGTTGCACTGAAGGACTTCGAAAGCATTAAAGAATTTCTTAGCTTTCCAGCAGCATTTTTTGTGGGGCAATCATTATGTTTTTGTCATTTTTAAGGGATACTGCAAGCATTTGGTATCAGTAATTGTGGTAATGACTGATTGTATTTAAAACTAATTTCCTGAACATTATGCAAGCCATCTAGAGTAGTTACTCTATAAAATACAATAGTTTGTTATTATGTAATCTACTAACAAACTGGACAAATATTAAAAACCCTTTTGTAATTATATAAATAGATAATATTAATAATTTCTTTGCTAATCACATAAAAATGTCAAGCGGTAAAATGTCACCATGAGAGAGGCATGTGTATACATGTAAACCTGTCATGCTGTCACAGTTCCAATAAACTCAGTATTATTTGTTTAGTCATGTTTTTGATGAAGCAGCTTATCCCTGCTTCAGGTTGTTTGTGTGTATGTAGCGTTTACTGCTTATGATTGCATCATCAGTATGAGACGTGGTGTTCTAGACTTTCCGTGCACCTGTTCTGCAGAGGTGGTCTTGGTGTGAAGCAGCCCTCCACTGAAATAGGTGTCAGTAGTTCTGCTTATCGTGATTGCACACCCAGTCGTAGCATCAAGCAAACAACAGGCAAACTCTGCTCAAATAGAACATTCAGCCAATCGGTTTCTGTGGTGAGGTAATCTGACAAACAGGATAATCTGCTGCGGGTGGTGGGCATGTTTCTGGAATAATCCTGTTTTAGAAAAAGCTGCCAGACAGCCTTACATGATTTTTTAGATGCCAGAATGATAGATTGAGCGAGAGACTTGTGTGTATTGTGGTCAAGGTCGCAGATGATGGACTGTTTGGAAGTTCATGATGGTAGCACCATAGACTGCATATTGGCTGGCCTTTGACAGGGTATTTTTAGGTGTGACTGTGACGTTGTGTATACTGGGGAGCCTGTTGTCATAACAGAAGCAAAATGCCTCCATTAACAGAGCTCCAAAAACAAAGTCAATGAGCATGCCTTGAAGACATATCTGTCCCCGCTGTTTATTAGTTTGGTCAAGATAAATTATTGCTATCAACACCACCCACAGCCGAATCAGAGTCAGTCTTTTGTGATTCCTGGTTCATGAGACAACTGGTACTATCAATGCTTAGTAAAACTGTATTTTAGTGAACCTCATTCAAGTAATGTTTCTTGTTTTGTCCCTCTCTTTCTCTTTCTAAACAGGGTCCCTTTTGTAAACAACGGTTTTTTCTCCCTTCTCCCTTTTCCTGGTTTTTCTTTTTGTTTGTTTTTAGTTTTTGTTCAATTCATTTTGGAGCGGAGAGAACAGCTTCGCCATCACAGAGCTGCAGCCAGTTGTTTTCATGGTCTGGGGTCAGTCTGTACCCACTGACAGACACAAGCCTTGTGAGTCAGATCACAGGAGCAAATATGAGTACAGCCAAGCCCAGTGGGATCAAAGTGCCCAGCAAGATAGCCAGGCCACCAGGAACAGGAGCCCCCAAGACCAACCCCAGCGCTGGTAAGAGTCTCTGTGTCCAGCTTCTTCAGCTTGTGGTGATACTTGTGGCATTGTTGAGTTTGCCCTTGATGCTGGGATCATGTTGATTTTGTTTCTTGTCCTGTTATGAAAGGGCTTGTAAATCTGACATCCTGACTCACATTTCTCCAGATTTGTTTTTGTTACATGTTTGCATTACGCTCAGTCACACTTGATACAACTTGTCTTATACCTTGTAATTTAATCAAATAGCTTTTAGCTTGTACCTTCAGCCAGAATAGCAAAAGGAGAAGTTCACTTTCATTTGATGGATAAAACTGATAGAAATTACTGGATAAAATAGGAGACAAATGCACCACCTGTTTCAGCTCCAAGGTGTCTAGATTAGATTATTTTTTTGGTATTTGCCTAATACATTTAACTGTTTCCTAATTTTATTTATTTTAGGATGTATTAATTCATAATTGATGAGAAAACACTGTATACATTCTATAAACAGTGAGATTGGGAGCACCAGGTTTCCTGAATGTGATGTTAAAAACATAACTGAAGTCTAATAGAAAATATTTTATTTGAAGTGTTTAGATTGAGAAGCAATCTAGAAGAAGAAAATCCTTCAAGCTCTAGGATCAGCTACACTACCCTTTTAAGCAGGGGAAAAAGTAAAGATATAGTATAATGTAGACATCAAATCACATGATATTTCAATGAGATGCAGAGCATTTATGACATTTGCTTCTTTGATGCAAGGCAATTACTTAATGGGTTTTTCAAAACCTCTGTTCTCTTTTTAGCTAAAGTTGCTGCTGCTGACAAATCAGCTGCAAGTGCCAGTGGAGGAGATGCCAAGAACACTGAGGAGAACTTCCAGACTGGGGAGCGAGTATGGGTGAATGGGAACAAGCCGGGCTACATACAGTTTTTGGGAGAGACACAGTTCGCCCCGGGACAGTGGGCTGGGATTGTTCTAGATGAGCCGATCGGGAAGAATGACGGGTCGGTTGCAGGGGTGCGCTACTTCCAGTGCGAAGCCCTGCGAGGGATATTTACCCGCCCATCCAAGTTGTCTCGCACAGAGGGGGAGGCTAATGGGACCCAGACAGCACCACCCTCCCGCGCTGCATCACCCACTCCTTCGGTTGGAAGTGTAGCCTCGCAGACACCCGCCACTAAATCATCATTACCCTCAACTACTACGTCAGCCAAGAAGGCCTCCTCTGCTACACCAGCTACACCGGCTACACCAGCTACACCATCTTCCAACCTCGCACGCACGAACAGTGAATCTGTCTCCAACCTCTCAGAGACTGGATCAGTCAAGAAGGGGGAACGTGAACTGAAGATGGGTGACCGTGTTTTGGTAAACTTTGTCATAATATCTGGAAAAAAAAATACAAATATGGCTTCTTACCTGAATATTTCATCAAAGTGACAGAACTCTGAGTCTGTATAACGCTGAACACTTCTTGTTCAGATTCACGTGATTCATGAAAACTTCCTTTTTTCAATCTTAGTGAAATTAGCACATGAAACCTGTTTATGGAAGCACTTATACTGTTGTACAGTCCTGTAGGTCTTATTATACGCTGATGAGCATCTTCCTTCCTCCTTCCAGATTCCCTTTTTTTATGTGCCTTTCCTCAGTCAGGAGGCTGTGTAGCACATTATGTGAAGAGGAAGTGTTACTCATGCCTAATGGGCTGCAGAGGAAATGTGCTCACCATGTCCACATTTAGGCATTCAGACCTTGCAGCTGTACATTTAAAATAGTTAAAAGACAAAAGACAAATATTTGGTTTCAAGTGTTATTTAATTTGGCCTCAATCTGTTCAAAGCTGGTACATGTGTGTTTCTGTTGCTTTTATGGAATTATCTCACTCAGGGTTTATTACCAGGCAAAGCTGATTACTCTGTTGGCCTCTCTTATCTCTTGAGAGGATTAAATGTTGGCTAATGTTTGGTGTTTTCTTCTCAGGTTGGTGGTACAAAAGCTGGAGTGGTGCGTTTTCTTGGCGAAACAGATTTTGCAAAAGGCGAGTGGTGTGGTGTGGAACTGGATGAGCCCTTGGGAAAGAATGATGGCGCAGTAGCAGGCACGAGGTACAATCGCCACTACCATCTGTAAAAAAAAGTAAAAGACAAGTTGTTCTATGTGTCAACCACAAACCATCCATTATTGTGACTGTATTCTATTATCTGACCTCCAGATACTTTCAGTGCCAACCCAAGTATGGCTTATTTGCTCCAGTGCACAAAGTCACACGCATTGGCTTCCCTTCCACCACGCCAGCCAAAGCAAAAACGACAGTTCGGAAAGTAGTGGCTACACCGTCAGGGCTGAAGAGAAGCCCAAGTGCCTCATCCATCAGTACCATGAGTTCTGTGGCATCTTCTGTTAGCGCTAAGCCCAGCCGCACAGGCCTGGTGAGACATGGACAAAATCACTAGCAACAATATTCAGAAGCCGTACTCATACATCTGCTTAAAGCAGTACTGTCCTGACAGTATGAATGCTGCTCATGCTACTTTTCTGTCTTTTTACAGCTAACTGAGACATCATCAAGGTATAATCGAAAGATTTCAGGGACCACAGCTCTGCAGGAGGCACTGAAGGAGAAGCAACAACATATTGAGCAGCTAATGGCTGAAAGGGACATGGAAAGAGCTGAGGTTGCCAAAGCCACTAGTCATGCTGGAGAGATGGAGCAAGAAATTACTCTGCTCAGGGACGATCAGGAGCAGGTCAGCTCACTCACTGATCCTAATTGACTGTTAGAAAATCTGGTAATTGCCATATCACCTGTGGTAATTTTATTGTCCAACATCTGACCTATTTTTTGAAGATGGAGACAAAGATGGATCAGTTGCGTGCCTTGGTAGAAGCTGCAGACAAAGACAAAGTGGAGCTGCTAAATCAGCTGGAGGAGGAGCGTAGGTAAGAATTTTCCACAGGTGTGACTAGTCAGACACACAGTCACCCATGACAGTATGTTGGGATCTGTTGTTTTAATATCCTTGCATTAGTTTGTTGAAAGAGAAAATGACTCCTAAGCTCATAATGCTGTTCTTATACAGTCTTATAAAGTCATGAGGAAAGAGGTTTGCCTGAGTTGGCTTAGCCCCATTCCTGATCACTATAGGTTAGAGGTTGTTAGTTTCCCTGTTAAGTCTATTTTTGTTTGTTAAACAGGAAGGTGGAGGACCTTCAGTTTCGTGTAGAGGAAGCTTGTATTACCAAAGGAGACCTGGAGGTAAATACACAACACAGATCCATACCAGTGCAACTAACATATTATTGAATTCATGTTTGAAAACCACAGTATTCATGAGTGCAAGATTGCAGTTTTTATAAAATAATATCATGACAGGGATACTTGACTATGTCCCTCTGGTTTAGAATATAAATTTAGTATTAATTAAGAAGCAGCATTTGCTCCAGTTACCCCACATCCTGGTTTCGACTCAGAATTAAAGTTTATATAAGCTTTGCTCTCTATCCTTGATAATAAAGTGATTTATGTCATTGTGTCTTCTTGTAGTGGAGGTCCAATGCAATTTGAGCTTGCACAGGATGAACTAGTATTCCTTGGCACAGAGCTACATTCACGGCCATGCAGAGCATTTGCATTGCCTCTTGTTAGGATAGCTCCTCTGCAGTCTCGGTGTCTGTGTTTGCATGAACAGTTTGATACTGGTTTCATCATAGATTAGGTGATGTGCTGTGAAATGTATCCAGTGGTGCAGGAAGACGGTTACTTGTGCCTCGTGAGAAACTTAATGTAGAGAGATAAGTTGTAAGAATAAGAAGCTCTTAAAGTTCTTAATTATTTATGGAAAAAAAGAATGTTGTTGCTAATGTTTGCCTGTTATGAAAGAGAAACCATTTCACTGTCCTAGCAAATTATCCAAGCTATGGAAGTTAAGAAAGAGCATGTAGCCTTTTCCATCACATAATCTTTTACAATGATTTAACAAAGTAGGCTTTTAGAACTCATTGCCTTTTTCTCAAGTAAGTCAAGCTCTCATCCCATGTTATGATATGCGTACTGGAGCCCAGTGGGATCTGTGTTCACATCTGATCAAATAATTTGTCATTTATTCCACAGTGCTGCACAGGGGCTCATCTCAGTTACCCTGAAGGCATCCAAGCTCACAATAGATGTTTTAAAATGAGGGCTACAGGGTTAGAAAACCCCTTTATCTTCTCTTTAAACTTGTGAACTAACTGTTTTTTGTACTTACTCACAGTCGTGGATATATTAATAAAATAAAAAATGCATGTGGCTTAAATTACAGCTACAAAAACAGTGAAGAGGCCAAACTCAAAAAATGCTTTTTAACTTCAGGCTGTTGAAGGTATACTAATGTTGAGCTGTAATCCTCAGTGCCTCCCTGTTCAATGATGTGATCTTATTGCTTCTCTTCCTTCTCGTCCTCGTCTTTCATGTTGGTCCAGTGCTCAGCATGGAACCACTGGAGATGCTCCCTTGTCATTCCACTGCCCAGTCACAGACCTGAATTCAGTCTGCCCACTGCAGTCAAAGGGGAATAACACTCATCACAATTCAGATGTAATGTTTAAACAAATGGATAAACGAGCCAGGCTACATTATAACTTGCTCCACAATGAACAATGAGAGCATACAGTGTTGAAGTAAATGTATGCATTTAAAACAGAGTGATCTCATACGTGTGTTAAGTTTCCTTATCGCATCCTTCCTGCTACAATTGATTGGATGTGGTTCATCAGTTAGGTAGCTAGACATGACAGCTCATTTAATCCAGCTGTTTCCATGAAAGACCTGGAATAGATTATGGGCATAACATTTAAAACAAGTGCTATTCCCCTTTTCAAAATGAAATTTAGAGTTAACATACACTGGGTATCATGTAAGACTAGAAGCACGAAATTGTGGCAGGAAAAGCTTCATTAAGTTGCCTTAACATCGTTATTCTTAACGCACAATACCAAGAAGTCAAATGAGAACCTTTCTTGAGCCCAACATGCTTCTGTGTTACTGATTGATCTCTGTTAAGTTGGTCACAAGTCTTGCACATGGTGGTCTGATAACTGGTGGTTTCTTACTGTACAGTAATACTTACAATACCGAGTGTGAACAATGGCTTTATCACCAAGGAGATAAAGCAGTGTGGCTATTGATAATGTTACAGGCTCTATTAATCTGGTATAAAGATAAGACCATAAATGCAAAAAGATATATTTTATTATTGATTTTCTAACGTTAAATCAACATATCACTTAGGCTTTATGCAATGCATTGACTTTGTTACAGAATTGAAGTTTAGAGATCAAGAAACAGCCAGCACTGCGTTGTCTTCATGCTGTGGCGAAGTCATTTTAACTTTATTTACTTGCTGGCTTGACACACATTATCAAATTTTCTGTGTATCATAACAATCAGTGTGCTTTATTCACCAGGTGTCAGTTTTGCATGGTTACTCCTAAACTGCCTCCTTCATACTCATCCTGCACATCCATAATACATGCCCCCCCTTCTTTTGCTGCTTGTCTCGTATTTCCTACCATCCATTCACAAAAATCCCTATTTGCAGCTGTTGATGGCACAGCCTGAAAGTTCTGCATGGGGGTGTCTTCTCATTTCTACGCATCCACCACTCCCTACACCTACCCAGTACCCTTTTCCCAATCCCTTAAATACAAGTAAAACACAAAGACAGACAAACACAAACACACACACACACACCATCACCACCATTGTCCAAACCCCCCTCCATCCTCTCTCCTGTCTCCCTCCCTCTCTGTCTGCGTTGGGCTGGCATGTGATGGTGGCACTGGTGTGTTCTTTTCCTCTCCCCCTTGTTTACTAACAGACGCAGACCAGACTGGAGCATGCCCACATTAAGGAGCTTGAACAGAGCCTGCTCTTTGAAAAGACCAAAGCTGAGAAACTCCAAAGAGAGTTAGAAGACACTAGGGTAATGAATTCTGCTCTGCAGTGTGCTGCATTGGGAAAGAGGGCCTGGGCCAAGGACAGTGGCCACAAAATTACCAAGGGTTACTGAGAGGTGCTGAGCAGTAACTGGAGCTTTGTTTTATGAGCTTGTGGTGAATGAGTACCATACAAATGATTTTTTTTTTTTCAGCATTACATTAGGAAACTATTGCTCTGTTCTTTAAAAAATAGATCAAATAGCAAACTAATGCTTTTCTTAGATTTGTTTAAATGCTTTACTCAGTCTATCCCACATAGAGTTCGATTGTCAAATGTAGCATTACAATTTTTGTTATTAGCTGTAGATTCATTTTCTAACCATTTTCCAAATTTTAACCTATCTCACATTCAAATGGATCCACTCAAAATGATTACGCTCACAATATGAATTTCTGTTTTAATCATTTTAACATTAACCATACTTACCTTTCAGCTGTCTAAGGTGACAGCTCTTTCACTTCCACTGTTTTTCAACGGCCAACCTGAACTCACTCTTGCTTTACTGGTATCACTGCTTAACCAGACAGACAAACTTCCCCTTCGTCCCCAGTTAATCATTTTCTCAGTTATCCTATGTTCTACTTCCCCGGTCCTTCCTGGCATCCATTTGTCCTGCTTATTTGGTGTCCCTGTGTTTTGATAGTCTAAAACCTGCTCCACCTCTCAGACTATGCATCCTGTCCTCCCCTATGGTCTTATAGTCAAAAGGAGTAAAAATCTAGTTTTGAGGATGAGGGCTGTAGTTTTTACATATTTTAGCAAGAAAGTCTCTATGATGCAATGATTCTCCTGTTTTAATCAAACTGTTAATTATTATGTTGACGTAGAAACAAGAAATGCATGTTTGAGAAGACTGGAATATACAAAAGATTTGGAACATGGATTATATATAAAAAAATCGAAAACATCAGGGCTCTCTGGGGGTTGTTTAATATAGCCTTTTCTTTTTTAGTTCATAACTCTACAAAATCATGAGTCCAATGACAGCATCAAATTATAGACTTGAAGTTTTGGTTTAATGGATGGTGGAAAATGTCTTGCACACTGCTGTAGCTCCATACATGCTTTCAGTGTTCACTTCCATTATTTGGACCATTTCCTTTATAACCCCAAGAGGTCAGTATAATGCCTTTTTTTTGGGAATCAAGAGTTTTTAAGCCTACTTCATTAAGCAAGCAAATTGAGCAGTTTTTGAGTTTTACAACGGCACAGTTGCAGTATTGTATTTTATTTCACTTTTCTAATACGTTTTTCATTTGTTTAGTAACAGTAAAGTGTGATTAAGTGTGAGTGTGTAAGTACAGCTTCAATATGTCAGACTGGGACAGATTTTTAAATGCAAGATTTCTGCTTTTGAAGGTTGCAACTGTATCTGAAAGATCCCGTATTATGGAGCTTGAGCGGGACCTTTCACTGCGAACAAGAGAGGTGGCTGACCTGCAGCTGCGTCTTGGGATGCAGGAGGGCTCTGAGGATTCAAACTCTACTCTTTCTCCACTCCTGGAGGAGATAAAATCTCTGAGGGATCAGTTGGCTTCTCAAGAAGCTAATCAGAGAGAAGAGCTGGGGAAATACAAGGAGAAGCTGGAGGCTCAAGAAAAAGTCCAGAGTGAGACAGTTGCCCAGCTTCAGGCCTCATCTGTAAAGCTCTCTGGTGACAAAGAGCAATTACAGATGCGCTTAAGCCAAGCTGAGAAGGAGAATGCTGACGTTGTTGAACTGTGGCGTTCCAAGTTGGAGTCTGCTGTCGCCTCTCACCAGCAAGCCATGGAGGAGCTGAAGGTGTCCTTCAGTAAAGGTGCAGGCGCCCAGACAGAAGAGCTTGTAGAAACCAAAAGTGCACTAGAGAAGCTAAAAGTGGAGCACAAGTTGGCACTCGAAGATGCTGGAGCTAAACATGAAGCGGAAGCCTCAGCTTGGACTCAGGAGATGCAGGCGCTTAAGGCACAGCTGTTGTCTTTGACTGAGGACAAGGAGCGCCTGGAGGATTCACTGAGGTCCAGTGTTGAGAGAGCAGAAGAGCAGCACCTTGTGGAGATGGAGGATGTTCTTGGGAAGCTTCATGCTGCCGAGCTTAGAGTGAAGGAGCTCGAGGACAAGGAAACATCGCAGGCAGAACAGGCTCAAGACAAGGACAGAGAAACCAAAGAGCAGATGGCAGAAATGGTGGCTCTGCGCAGCCAAGTAGCACAAAGTAACCAGGAGCTCGTGGCTCTAAAGAAGCAATTGGAGGAGGTACAGAGCCAAGGAAACGACCAGGGTGCAAAGGTAGGTCTTTATTCACCTGATGACCATGTTTCTGCTCGTTTTTTTTTGTATGAGCTGTGTTTTTGCCAAGTAGTATCTTCTGTTAGAGTAGTTTAGTATTTTCATGAAACAGTTATCAGCCATTGTTTTGCTAATATGTTGTTTTGATTTGCATATTATCCATGGTTTGCTTTTGCCCTTTTGCCTACTGTATTTGTTACTTGACTATAGGTTAGTGAATTGAGCTCTCAGTTGGAGGGCAAACAGCAGGAAGTTCTCTCCTTACAGCAGAGTCTGACGACTGTAAAGGAGGAGAAGGACACCCTGGAACAAGAGCTCGGAGGCCTGGTGAGGATTATTGCTTAATTTTTGAATGTGGTTGTAGAACGATGAAGGATTGAAGTTATTGGTTCTTTACTTGTTGGATATTGTCATACTTGCATCACTTTTTTTTTTGAAGCTACACTCATTTTGTCTTTGACATTTGGCTTCGCATTCCTTAAATTTTTTGCTAAATGTGAAAAATCATGGACAAAAATAGTATTTCTCCCTGCAGAAACAAAAGTTTGGCGAAAGCACAGAAGAGCAGAGTAAATCTGCAAAAACTATGCAAGGTAAGTGGTATAATACGTTGTTTTTGTGCAGAGAATCAAATATTATTACTCAAATTGTTCACATCATCTGCTACTATTTGGCCTTTTTCTTTCTGCAGAAACACTTGAGAAGCTCAGTAAGAAGGAGGAGCAGTGCATATCCTTGACCACGGAATCAGAGTCTCTAAAAAGTCAGCTTGCTGGTAAGCACATTACTACTGCACTGCCCTGTGTTTAGTATTTGCAGAAAAGAAGCTTTCACTCTTGCCCTATTGCATCAAAGTATTTTTTCCTCCCCTTTCTTGTTGAATTTCAACCTCTGGGCATCATGAATAAACTCATGTTGTATTGAATCAGGGCTGGAGAGGAAGCTGAAAGCTGCAGATGAAAAGCTTGAGCAGCTTTCGAAGGACAAAAGCAAACTGGAAAATGATATTTCTGACATGATGAAGGCATCCGGTGATAGTTCAGTACAGCTTACCAAAATGAATGAGGACCTAATGCAGAAGGAAAGGTAACACTCTTCACGATTCCCTTCTTGTATGTTACTTGATTACACAAAGCAAATTATACCAATCATGTTGGAATGGGCTATTTATTTCCCTATGACAAGTTACTAGTATTCAGATCCCCTGGTTTTGTTTCATTCTTTGTCATCACACAGGAGACTTGAGGAGTTACAGAATCAACTGGCTGAGGAGAAGGAGAAGGCAGCACACCTGAATGAACAACTCCAGCAGGAACAGTCCCACAAAGAGCAGGAGCTGAAAGAAACCAGAGATACACATCAGACTCAAATAAGTAGCCTTCAGGAGAAGATTACTACCTTGGTTAGTATTGTATGAGAATCACACACTTTAAAATAGTTTTATAGGTATTAAAATATTCAATAAACTGTTTACTACTCGTTGGAAAATGTTCCACTTAAGTGTATCCTTTAGTCACTGGCTGCATAAAAACGATTCAATGCTCTAATGTGTTTAAATATTGCCTTTCTTTCTTTCCATTTTCTAGGAGAAGACAGTTAAACAGAGTGAGACCCTGGCTGAGGAGCTGAAGGCTTCGCATGAGAAGTCCCTCTCTCAGGCTTCAGAGCTCCATGTAAAAGAACTTGAGGTGCGGCAGACTCAGGTTGATAAGCTGAATCAGGATCTCTCTTCCTCCAAGAACAAAAACCAAGAGCTAGAGAAGTTGGTATCTGAGCTGCAGCCATACAAGGAACAGGTTCAGGTAAGCACAAACTTAACAGCACATATGTTGAGTCTGCACGTTTTACATTTTGGCAGAATGACAGAATGTGAAACCAAGCTTTTAAAATACACGATGGAGGGCTATATGTATCTGTATAACTATCTCTGGTCATTTAACATTAGTGGACTAATGTGTATCATTAGTTCCTCTTATTTACTGTCATACATATTGTTTGTGATAAATTGTTCATTCCCCCCTCACATTAAGGCTCATAACTAGCGCTACATTGGATGGTACCATACGGTATATGCTTGCAGGGGTACACCAGATGAAATGATGCCTTCATTGTATTTATAAGAAGTTTGCGGTGATTGAAAAAGTCAAAGAAATCATTTACACTTTTATGTTTGTTTTGTTTGTTTTGCTCAGGCTGCTTTATGGATATTTATGCACAGGGCAGCGCTGATGTTCACTTTAACTTGGATTATCATGGATTCAGAGAGTATTCAGACCCAGTCACTTTTTGCAAAAAATGTATGACCTGAAAGATATAGAAAAAAATTGCTACTTTTGCCATCAGTTTACGCCCAATAACCAAAAATGACAAAGCAAAAACATTTTTAGAAAGTTGCAAACCTATTAAAAGTAAAAAAAAAAACAACAACAAAAAAAAAACTACAATTTATCACATGTGCCACTCGATTTTAGTGAGATCCATCCTGGTGTATTTAATAATCCCAGAGCTATGTCTAGAAGCTGATTGAAATCCAAATTGTATTGACTAGATGTAGTTTATAAAAGGCACACACAAGGTCCCACAATTTACACTGCTTACTGTCAGGGCATAAGAGAAGCCATGAATTTGAAGAACTCCCCGATTAAATTGTGGTGAGGCATAAATCAGGACAAGGGTTTAACAGGATTTCTAAAATGTTTCCAGAAACACAGTATTTGAGGTTTGGAACCACCAGGACTAAAGAGGAGAGTTAGACTAACAAAACAAGTAGATCTGTGGTCAGGGAGATGACCAAGAATCCAGTAGTCACTGCAACAGAGCTTAAACTCTCTGAGATCTGTCAAGTCTTTATGTTGGAGGAGGAGTTTTCTTAATTTAAAATTTACTCTGCAACTCAAACGCACAAAAAGTCTGAATACTTTCTGTATCAACTGTGCAAAAAGTTTCTTCAACTACTGGTTTTAATTTTCCATTAGGTGATAGGGCGTTTTTGATGTACCCCTCCCAGCATAGTTCATCAGCCTGCTTTTTCATGAAAGCATTTTCACTCTCCAGCAAATCATCATAGGAGGCAACAGTGGCTTCTATAGTCCGGAAATTAACATCCATTGTTATTATGTAAGAGAAAATGAAATTCAGCACTTAGTTTTGCAACAGAGTTCCCAACAGAAACTGTCTATAGCTAAGTCCTTTACAGTGATGCTGCTCATGATAAAGTAGTCATATACTCTGGCACCCAATCAAATTTGTTGGCATTGTTGTTATTTATTTATTTATTTATTTATTTAAATGAAGTTGGGGCTGAAGTGAAAATGTTTCACCATAAACTTTTTGAGATCGTTGTGGTATAAGCTCTGGTGTGGTCTTTTGCCATTTTTGATGCTTCTGCAGCTTAACCTTTCCATTTGCATATCACTTGTGTTCATATCTGCTTGGTTTATTTTGGATTTATTCATACTTTGCCCTGTATATACATTTCCCTCCTTTTTTTTTTTCTCCCCCCTTTCACTTTTGTTTTTCCAGTGTCTTTCCGCTGAGCTTGACTCCTACAAGCATGATATTGAACAATTGTCCCAAAAAATGGAAAAACTGAACCTAGATCTGGAAAATATGTCAAAGGAAAGTGAGGATGTTAAGGGTGAGAAAGGCAAACTAGAGAAGCAGCTTTTAGATGTGCAGACTAAGCTTTCGGCCCTTGAGATTAGTCACCAGCAACTTTCAGTCCAGAATGAAGAACTGCTAATAACCAGAGATAAACTTTTCAAACATGAAGAGGAACTGCTAGCTAACAGCAAGCATTTAGATGAAGAGAGGGTTTCAATAAACAAGGAACTGGATATGCTTAAAGACTCTCTGCAAGAAGCACAGGCTGAAAATAAACACCTGAAGCATGGTAATAGTGAATACCTGGCCCAAATTGAGGAGCTACAAAGACAAAATGCAGAAAAAAATGCTGCTCTTGTGAAGCATCAGCAGGACATCCAGCAAATCGAGTCTAAAAAGAAGCAACTCCTTGAGGATTACGACAACGTCTGCAAGGAGAGGAACCGGCTTGAAGAGGACCTCAGTGAAAGCAAGTCAAAGCTCACATCTGAGAAAGACAATCTGGTATTAGAGAGAGATGCTGCTAGAAATGCCAAAAAGTCTCTTGATGCTAAGAATGCTGAGTTGCAGGCAAAACTTAAATCCTTGAACCTAGAAAAAGAAGACCTAACACTGAAGAATACCCAGCTCCAGGCCCAAGCAGAAACACTGACAAAGGAAAAAGTGGAGATGTCCTCTGAAATCAGTGCTGCTGTGTTGGACAAAAAGAACCTTGAGACAGTGAAGGAGGAGCTCCAGAAAAAGCTCAGTGTCGCAAAGAAAGATTTGGAGAGCTATGTCCGTGAATGTGAGGAACTCAAAGCCTCAAAAATGAGCTTGGCTCAGATGTTGGAAGAGTTCAAGACGAGCAGTCAGGTGACCGACTCTGAAAGGCTTCACCTTCTGCAGGAGAAAGAAGACCTACTTGCGAGCCAAAGAAAAGTGTCGAATGAGAAAGAAGAGCTCCTCAGAGAGATACAAGAACTAAAGGAGAAGGTTCAAGTCTCCTCAGAACAACTCTCTCAGTCTAATGAGAAATTTAAAGAAGCATTATCATCTTTTGAGCAAGAGAAGCAAGCGTTTCGCCTTCAGAACTCTGAAACTGAGATGGCCTTGCATGCTTTACGGAAAGAGAAGATGAGCCTGGATTCAGCGCTAGAGCAGCAGAAAATGGACTGCGAGCGTTTGGCAGGGGAGAAGGGAGAGTTAGAAGAGAAACACACGAAGGCCATATCTGAGAAAAATGCTTTGTCACTTGAGCGCGATAAGCTAGCTAGTGATATCCGAACTGCTAAGGACCAATTGGACAGTTCCTCCAGAACTAACACCGACCTCGTTCAAGAGAAAGCTCATTTAACAACGATGCTAGAGGAAACCAAACACCAGAAAGATGAGGTTGAAGCAGAGATGACCTCTCTAAAACGAGAAAAGTCTGACCTACAAAATGAACTACAGAAACAGTGCTCGGATATTAAAACTCTTGAAAAGGGCAAAGCTGAACTTCTTGAGGAGCATAGTAAACTAAAAATGGATTTTGAGAAGGCTAACTTGGAGCTTGTTAAACAAGTGGAAAAGCTTACGAAAGATTATCAGCATCTTCAGTCACTGCAGACTGAGGCTGATAAAAAAGTGCAGTCCTTGCAGAAAGACAACCAGGACCGTCTTCAGGAGATCCAGGAGTTTAAGCATCAGGCTGAATCGGTGTCAGAGGCCAAGCATGTCCTTGAGACTCAGCTACAGGCTGAATCCACTGAACGGAATAAAGCAATATCTGACAAGGAAAGTCTTTCCAAACAAATTGAGGAACTGCAGAAAGCGTTGTCCAAAGTTACAGAAGATAATAAACAGATATCCTCTAACCTTAAGAATACAGATGAGCAAAAGAAGTCCTTTATGGTGGATATGGAGGCTTTGAAAACACAAACGAAGCAGCAAGAGCAAGAAAAAAGTCAGTTAGCAGAAGATAAAGTACAGCTTTTAGCTAAGCTTGAAGAGATGAGCAAACAGATGACTCTCCTGACTACAGAGAAGGAGGACCTTTCAGCCAGCCGCTGTAAATTAGAGCAGGAGGTTTCTTCTCTCCACACAAACAAAGAAAATTGGCTCGCAGAACGATCAGAGCTTCTAAAACAGTTGGAGGGTTTGCAGACTAGCCAGAAACAACTAGAGGTTGATGTCAAGGCCCTACAGACTGATAAAGACAATCTGGAAAAGCAATACAAGAACGCCGTCGCAGAGGTATCGGCTTCTGCCGTTGTCAAAGAAGAAATTTCCTCCAGCATCTCACATCTAACTGCTCAGAAGGATGCTCTGCAGGTGGAGAGAGATGAAGCCGCCCAGCAAGTCAAGCAGCTCGAGTCACAGCTAAAAAATGCAGTTTCTAAGCAGCTTGAGGTATTCCTCCTCCAGTAGTAATCACTGACTCACCGTCGTAGAATGGCTGGGGCTATGTCACCTCCTCACTGCATGCTTGCTGGTTTGTCTCCCTCTCCTCTTAGATTCATGTTTAACTTTCATCTTCCGTTTACTAATCGCTGTCTATGACCCTTAGCTCCCAGCCTTTGCCTGTGGGCTTATAACGTGATCAAATGTTAGTCTAAATTCTTCTGGGTTATATTGTTTTTTTGGGTGTAAGATGATCTTTATTGCACTCAAAGTCAAAACACACCATCAGATGGATGACTCCAACTAAGACCTACCCAGACTGTCTTTAAAGGTACACCGTGCCTAAGACAGTTTGTGTCCTATCCAACCTATTACACAACCTAATGGGTCGTGAGTGTCCGTTCTGAGGCCACAGGTTTTAGAGTCAGTATATTAGAGTATATACTAATTATTTTTCTCCTTAGTGTAATGTTTGTGTTGTTAATTGTCTATCAGAATGCACTCAAAAAAATGAACTGAGGTTTGTATAATCATTTCTTAATCAGTAGTTAAAACAGCTACTTCGTTATGCATGCAGGTAATTTATCAAAATGACAATTAAATGATACAGTTGGCTGTCAGTTCAAATCACATTCTTGTGTAGCTTTATCAAATGACCTGCAGATATTTTATTCTGGTTGTTTGAGGTCATGACGTGTTTATGTCAACCAACCATTCGCTGCGCTTAAATTCAAGCTGTTGGTCTTAACGAATGTTCTACTAATGCACCGTTTAGGCTACGGAGGCTTCTGGCAAGACTACTGAGGCTCTGGAACAGCTGACAAAAGAGAAAGCCACTTTGATGCAGGAGAAGAACAAAATCCAGTCTTTGTTAGAAGAGCTCCAGAGCTCCAAGCAGGAAACGGAGACCCAGGTAAGCAGGGAAATACCAGTAATGTAGTCTTTTGGTAGTCAAGTGGCTTTTCTCATCAAACAGTATTGTAAGAGGAAAAGTAAATTCTTTGTTTTGTGGTCAGGTCTCCCTTCTGATCTCAATGGGCCTTCCTGGTTAAATAAAGATAAATAATGTATGTCCTGTAGTTTTAAATGCACGTGCTATTATCGTTTCAGCTGGAATCTCTGAAGAAAGAGAATTCCAAACATCAAGAAGACCTGAATGTATCTAAAAAGCAGCTTTGCACAGAAACTGAGAAGACTAAGAGTCTGTGCCAGGAAATGTGAGTACATTTTTACTGTATTAAATCTGTCAGATTTAAATTTCAGTAGTTCAATACAATTAGTGAGTTACAGCAAATCATGACAGAAGAGTTGACAAGCCAATATGTGTTCTACGTTAACTGTCAGAATTTGTTGAATAATTCGAACATTTCTGTCTATTCAGTGAAGAGCTTAAAGAGGCAGTTTCTGTGAAGTCGCAGTCCCTGCAGACGCTCCAAGATGAGAACAACAAGCTGACTCTTGAGCTTGATAACAATCACAGAGACCAGGGTGATATTGTGAAGGTGCAATACTTTATTTTAAAAACAACCTTTTATAAACCTACACGTTTGCGTGCTGTTGTTCTGGTGATGATGATTGATTTTTTTTTTCTTTATTGTGCTCCTAGCTCAAGGGTGAGCACTCAAAAGTTAAAAAGCAGTTGGAAGAGATAAAGCAAAGGTGAGAGAATGCACTATCATTTTGTGATTCAGGTGATTTTTCTCAGAAATGTACATATTCACCACGATTATCAGTAATACTTTTTAAGTCCGTTGTCAAAATAAGCACACTTAGATTCATCTGCTTCACGCTTGCTAACCTGCAGAGCATTTGTGATAAAGTCAATGTCATGCTGTTCTTTTCCTTCAAAGCCTGCCAAACAATGCCTTCAGGTACTTCACGCCTTTTAATATTACGTCATATCAGTCATCATCATGTTATAGTACAAATATATTGACCACATGTACATAGGCAGATGGTTAATGCCCCATCCCATTTGCTTGACGCATTTTCTTTGTTTTTGTTTTATTTTAGCCATTGTGCTGTGTATCTCTTCATTTTATCAGTACATACACTGGCACTTGCCATCCTCCCATTTAAGCAAAATTTGACCAAATGACCATAGAACAATTGTTTGTTTTTTTTCTCTTCCTGAGGGCTGTACTACGAAGCAAGTTTGACATAGCGGGGCTTTCTTTGTGTAAGCCAGCTTGACGAAAACAAAAGCCGCAATCAGGGATAATCAGGGTATCACGAAGGTGGTTATCAACTTTCTTTGTCAACTCAGACTTTCTGCTTCAGATTCTGATGGTAAAAAGCACCGTTACTGCAAATGGTGCAAGACAGAAATGCTGGTAGAAAACTGTCAATGTGTTAATATATAATATTTTACCAATGCAGTCGTTTGTTTCCAACTGACAGCTGCACGTTAAAGTTATATTTAAACATGATCTTGTATTGAAGTACATTTAGGTCTGACACTGTCCCATAATACAGGAAATCACTTTAAATTTTAGCCAAATCAAAGTGAAATGAATGTTATTGATTGAATATTTTCTGTAATAAATACCAGTAGAATAATCAGTTTTCTGATCTGTTTTGTATCAGCTGCTATAAACGGACTTGAAAGCAAATCAGAGCCAAACATAAAAACATATTTATGGGATTTCTGCATCGCCAATTAAATACATGTCAGGTTCACATGGCAATGCAATATATACAGTGTGTGATATTGTAACTACTCAACTTCATTCAGTGATATTAGTAACACACAGCTCAGCATGTTTGCAGATAAAACACATTCCCTCAGCTGAGAATCTGTATCACTCATAAATAATAGTAAACGATTTAGTTAAAGGGAGACGCTTTTTCCAGCTGATTTAAATCCTAAACTCTGAACATAACCTGCTCACGCCACAGCATCAGTTACCATGGAGATCTAACCAGGTAAAAAGAGAGCCACCTTCGTGACACTGAAAACTCTGACTTTAAGCACCTTGATAACCCACGAATCTCACTTCGTAGTACAGCCCTCAGTAGTCACTGTATACTGTGATATTTAATTGGTGCTGTGTGTTTGATAGTGAGAGCACCTTGAAGGAGCAGTTGGAAAAGGAGAAAGCTGCCCTCCAGCAGTCCACCCATAAAAACAGTGCCTTAATCACAGAAAAGGACCAGCAGGTGGAAAAGCTGAAGAGTGAGGTAAGAAACTGATGCGTGATGTTGTCCTTATTATTGGTACCACAGATCATTGACAAAAGGTGGAGAATTTAGAAGGACATGCCTTAATTTCCGGACTATTGATCGCACCTGAATATAAGCCGCACCCACTAATTTAAAAAGAAAACTAATTTTGTACATATATAGGCCGCACTTGTATATAAGCTGCAGGTGTCCACGTTGTAACATGAGATATTTACACAGAAAGATGTTGCACAGAAAGATTTTTTTAAACTTTTAATGAAATACGTACCAGAAACATACACATATACGTACTGTAAATGCTTTTTGTGTGCCTGTTACACAGCTGGTTAAAAAAATCAAAAATACAGTAGCCTACTGGGAAAAGTCATTGACGCTATCTTCATCTTCCTCCTGCGCACAAAAACCACTAAAGTCGTCATCTTCAGTGTCGGACTTGAACAGCCTCAGAATTGCTTTGTCACACACTTCCTCAGTCTCTCTTTCCTGGTCGCTCTCAACGTCACTTTTGTCTTGAGGCAAATTCTTAAACTCCATAAATTAGCCGCATTATTGTTTAAGCCGTGTTAGAAAAATTTGTGGCTTATAGACCAGAATTTGCGGTACTCATGACTTATTGATTTAATGTACTTTTGGATCAAAATCTCAACACTTTTAGTTTTTTTAGAAAATTGTGAGCTTTAGAGACACAAGAAGGGACTTGTTCAAAGCTTTTAACAGCATGTTAGAGCTTGTTAAATCCAATATTTAACTTTAAGCTTCATTTCCTTCCAAAAAGCAATCAGACCTGGCAGAGACATTCTTAAGACAGTCTTATACTTGCTGCAAGTACAAAAGGGTCTGCTCAGGTCTGAGTGATGTAGATTTTTTTCATCTCCTTCAAGTCCGCAAGGGTCCCTGTGGTTTGGCAAGCAGTTTATTATCTAAGATTGACAATGCACAATTAAAATAACAGATATCAGCAATGTTATTGCGACTCAACATAATTACACTGTGACGTTTTTGAATCTTATTTTTAATATATCTATAATGACATTCTCACTAGTCACAGTGAGATATCTGTATTTCTGTTTGAACTAGTCAAAACCGTAGGATCAGATATCTCGAACCTGATTGTGACTACTTTGAACTACTGTGCATGACATTGCTCATACCAGGTTGAAAGCTGGCAACTGAGCAGTGTTACCAGAAGTAATGGCGCTTGCTGTGATGCTCAAGAGATCGGAAATGCTACGAGAAGCAAGCTGCTTCCTCATACTTCTCGTAATTTCTCGCTTAACTACATATATGGGCAGCATTACGGTTTGAGATATCTTTTGTTGATTATATTTCCATTTCAGGTCATCAACAACGTCATTCTGACTCATTCAAACTTTATTTAAGGTATTTAAATAGTGCAATGTAGATTACTTGTATTGAGGGGAATTAAAGACACTGCAAAGTAGAACTATGACTAGTCAGGATTAGCATCTGCAACTGAATCACAACTTCTCATAATTCAGCTGCAGATATCCACAATGTCATTTATCCAAGGAGGAATGACGTTTGATATCTGAATTGTTCTTTTTGAATAGTAAGAACTGAATGTGCAATACATATGGAGTCTAGTTGGTAAATGTTAAAATGGCTTGTCTTGCCCCTCTGCCAGCATTTGTGGACAACTTCTGTTCAGATGTAGTGATGCCTTTCTAGGAATTTCACTTGTTGCTGTAAACATTATGTTTTTAAAGTGAGTAATAATTTGCAAAAAGAAATCAAACATTTTCCAGGTTTTTTTTTTTTTAATAGCACGGTTTGTTTTCTTCACAGCTGGCTGGACTGCGTGGGGAAAGTGCCTCAGTTAAGACACTGCAGGGTACAGTTCAGGCCTTGGAGCAGGACAAAGCTAATCTGCAGGAGCGTATTCAGAGACTGGAGAAGGACCTGGCTGCAGGGCCTGACACCATCAACAAGTCCTCAGGTAATTCCGGACTTAACTCAGGGTCACAGCTAACATGTCTGGTAGCACTAAGATGGGTTCGTTTTCAGGTGAGGGAAAAAAAAGCAGAAGGATTATCTGGTTTACTCCTGTTTTGCAGGTGATGCGGTTTTGGACCAATTGAGGGAGGATAAGGAGACTGCAGAGAGTCAGGTGTGTACCATTGCACTCATGCCGATAATGCCAACCTTAGGTGTGGATAGGTGGAGTTTTTTTCTTTCTTTATTTTTCTTTCCTCCATCTATACATTCAATGTAATGATGCTTTCCTACCCTGCCCATAGAATTTTCTGGTTTGACACTAACTTGTCCTCATTGCATTTACATGTCATCACAGTTTTGGGCAGTCGTATGGAAACAGTCTTACTGAATGTTGTTTGTGAATGACTGTGCTGCTTACTTAGTACCAACTACGAAAACGCCACTAAATGACATACTAAATATAATGTCTGCTTGTAGCACTAGACTCAGAATGTTGACTCATAACTGTTACAGTATAATGTTTTTTACGGAGGTGAAATGGGCCAAAATTGATTGGAAATGTCATTAAAAACGACATGCAGCTTCTGATGTCATCTCAGCTCTGACAGGGATGATTGGTGCAACCCATCAATCGGTACCACAACTTTATCATGCCGCCGCTGTGAGCGTTTCAACCGCAGTAGCGTGTCAGTTCTTAATAAAGGCTTATCTTATCTTTTCAGTGTCACAACTTTCACCTGCCTCCTGTGTTGACTCTAAAATGTTATACTGTATTATCTGTGTCTGTGATGACTTGAGTGTGTTGTCTGGCAGTAGGTGGGTCCTAATTTGAATTTCATTTTTTCCCCCCCTCCTTCTCTTTCTTAAATTCCAACTCCTCTCTTCTGCCCTGTTTCTGATGTTGGCAATGCTACACCACCATCAGGCAGCGGTTTGTTACTGTTTTTCATCAGCTTCACTTGTGCATGTTTGTCACTGTGGCTCTTATGTTTCATCCAGTTGAATCACTTTGCAGTCGGTGTGAAAACTACATGCAAGCTGTCTTCCCAAGATGAATCAAGCTTGATTAATCAATACCTTTAAGCATTGAGTGAGGTCTCTGCTAAAATTCCCAGGGAAAGTTACTGCTGAGACATCTGTTAAAGATTACTTCTACTCAGTGAGACACTCATTAAATGTGGGTATTTTAGTGACTCATTCCAAGCTTTGATTTGTCTTGGGAGGACAACCCACAGTGGCAGTTCACTACCTTAATCAAGATTGGGCTCGTGTTTTGGAGATATGATGAGGCATAGTCACTGTTATCTCACTATCTTCATAGTCCCTATGGACCTTGTAAAAGGGAGGCAAAGCAGTGGCACATAATACACTAAATAAACTGTAGTATTAACTTTTGAATAACTAGTAGTAGCAAGGAAATTTGCTGATGGACAGTAGATGATTATACGCCAGGAGCAGGATTGATGCTACTGTTGTTTATCTCCTTCACAGATTGATTTCCTGAATTCAGTCATTGTTGACCTCCAGAGGAAGAATGAGGAACTCAAGGACAAATTGGAGAAAATGGCAGCTGCTGCTCTGAATGGGAATAATCCAAGTGAGCTGGATAACTATGATAGGTACGTGGCACTCAAAGCAGACTGTCTCAGACCACTTAAATAGGGATCAACCGATATGTGTGTGTGGGGTTTTTTGTTTGTTTGTTTCAGGGCCGATGCGATTATAGGTACTCAAGAAAGACAGATGCTGGATATTTGAAACCAATATACATCCATCCATT